CCCCCCCCCTGTCCTTGTTGTATTGTGTCTAGTAAGAATAATTTTGGTGAAAATAGAGTATCAAGGCAATATGCAGGGAAGAAGATGTAGGATTTTGCTTAGCTTCCAGAAATTATTTAAAGTGAGAAATGTTTGCTCTCTTCTTTTCTTTGTTGTTGTTTTTGTTTTTAGCTAGCCACTGTTTGAATTTCTGTAATATCTGTGTGATTTCAGGACGTATTAAAGAGGTTCTTGAATCTGAGCTTGGAATTCCACGAGATAAACAAGAGCTGAAAGGCTTAGTCAAGCGTAAAGTAGATGATTCTGTAAGTTGACTGTACTTTTGAAGTAAAATGTTGACATATTATTCACAAGGTCAGATAATAAGCACTCTAAATGTATAGTTTGAAGTATGGCCTTAGTTTTCATTTACTACGTAATCAATTTTCGTTCCAACATTGTCTATTTAAATTTTGTCGGAGACAAAAGTTTAAGAACTGTGGCCAGGGGTAATATCAGCGCATGATTAAATGAACACCTTAGTGCTGAGTAATGTAGTGGGAATGTTAGAGACAATTACCTTGAATTTTTCAATGAGATTGATATAATTGAATGGTTGTATCGTTCCATTTTCAGACAATACTTCGAGACTTGTTTCTTCCTCGGGACAATTCTCTTTATCTTCTTACTCCTGAAATTACCAATCCAACTGTGAACAAACCTCCACAACAAGAAGGAGAAGGGTAAGTTGGTGTTTAATATAGTGTTGCAATTTGTAACTACCATCGTTCTATATGAAGGGTCCAAGGAAAAATCTAAAGATGTTGGTTTATGGAAAATTTGGGTTGTGACGTGGTTTGGAAAGTGTTGTGTCCTCGGGAAAGGCACTTTAGTGTACATAAATGTTCATTTCTCCCAGGTGGGAATAGGTACTTGGCCATAGACAGTGAAAGATCTTGTCAGTATGTTTGTGTTTTAGCACCCATAAAATGGTATCTTGCACTGTATGCTTCCCAGGAAGTTGAGATTGTTTCAGAATGCTATCAGGTCTGTTGGGGTTAATTATATAGATTGTAAAGCTCTTGGAGCTTACTGTTGAGCAGGAATTTGCGTTATACAAATGCTAACTCTATCTAAATGTCCAGGGTGCCATCCTGTTGAGTCGCCCAATATTAGGCTTGGAAGATAAGCTACGCAGTGGGCTGTCAAGTATTTCATTTTTGTTTATGTCAATGCTCCAAAATGTGACGTCCTAGGTTTTTCCCTTGTACCCTTCATGTTTTATAGTTCTGCAGTGACATTTTAAATTATGTGAATAGGATGTTCATCATGGTATTCACTAATATTTTTTGTTACTGGTGCATGGAGGACTTTGGCTGGGTCTTTCTACCCCTGAATGAATTGCCATATTATGTTGGCTGACTGTTTTTTCACAGCTTAAAATTTATTCATTGTTTTAAAATGCATTTTAGGAATACCCGATTCCACTTTTTGTCTTTCCACTCACCTTTTACTCCGTTTTCTTGCTTTTTTTGCTCACCAGAACATCTCAAGGGCTCGAAGCAGAGAGGGAATATTTACTGAAGATTTCGTTTAAGGATGGTTCAAGATACAGGCATTTTTCTGTAAAATTTGACTGCAATAAGACTGTTCGAGATGTAAGTATAGCTTGTATGATGAGCGCTGTGTGTATGCCCCTGTGAATACAATTTCACCATCTTCAACTGGTCTCTGAACCCATTAACCCTTTCACTACATGGGGAGGTGGGGAGGGGGGTGGTCCTCACCTGTACCTTGTCCTATCTGTGACCTACTTTCTGATTCTGCCTACCGTTGGACAAATGAAAGATTTTTTTAGTTCAATTTTCAATATTAGCCACTTGTGTTATGTATGAAAATTAAGGAGAAATAATGACCTATCTCAACATGTTGCTAAATACGGTTATTCTTCAGCCTGAGGTTTCAGATTTGATTATGACAAAAGCAGGTTTGGTTTTGAAGCCGGAAGTGGCGAGGCGTCACGGTCCAGCGTTTGAGGTAACTCAAGTCTTGAAACACGGTTTGCGGTAGTGAAAGAATTAATAATCCTACTGAAATTTGGAAAAATAAGTGATGATTAATTTTGATGTAGATGTAATTAGTGTAATACAGATTGTGTTTCTTATCAGGGAAGTGCAGTAACTGAAGAGATTCTGTAATGGACAGGAAATTGTGTTAATTGTCAGAGTGGTTTTATTTGTGTGTTGTGTCTCAAGTCCATTAAAAGAGAAACCCCTTCATGTCAGTGCTGTTGACCATATATGAATTAATTAATATATGGGACCTCAGTTGTGAGCTGTATGTACAAATGAGAGCAATAGATTTCTTTAAAAACATGTTTAACTCCCCCTAACTGCTTGCTTTGGATATTTTTTCTTTTAATACAAGAGTTTTGAAAAACTTATTTCAACTAACAGAGTTGGGAGAGAGGGGTTGTTCACTGTCGTAGTTTTTTTGGGTTTTTTTTAAATCATGGAAAGAGTGTATTCTAATGGGAAAATGGAAATTAAATGTAAACTAATATTTTCAATCAACTTTTTATATTGTCGTTTCATTCTGTGATATCTTCTACTAGGAGAGCTTTGTCCTGTATTTTAGAAATAATGTCTGATCTTATCCTCACTTGGTGTCCTTCAGGTAAAGCAAAGTCTGACAACGCTCACAGATGTGCCCGTCAGGCACCAGCAGTGGACTGGATGGACCCGACCTGTATTAGATCAGGTATTACTATGCCGCCGTACTCCTACTTTGTATTTCTTGTGGGAATTTGAGGTGGCCTCAATGAAAGAAAGATTTAGTGTTTGAGAGTTACATCATTGGGATGTGTGTGAGTGTGTGTGTTTGGGGGGGGGGGGGGGGATACAAATTATGCGTTAGTAATGAAAACTGTTCCATTCTCCAATGTGCCATAAGTTTCCTTTACATTGTTTTATGACCTTTGGTAACTGTTTTTTCGCAAACTTTTTCCAGCAGTTGTGGTTACCAGTGAGCAAAGGTTCATGGTTCAATGAAGTCTGTAATTAAATTATTATCTTCTACCCAGTACGGCAAGTGATCTTCTGTAAAATATGCTGTTGTATTTATAAATACCAAATTATCAATGTTTTGTGAGAAAACAAAAGTTTCTTTGTTGAATTTTAAGGTTGACTAGCCAAATGAAGGCTATGTTTTCTAGGTACATAATTTATAAGTGGTCTCTAAAGCATCTGTGTTGAAGTAAACTTTCTTTTTCCACATTCTTGCAGGACAAGTTGTTCGCTTGTGGCTTAAACTATCCAACACATGATTTGGAAATGACCAAATCCGAGCCTTCTTCCTCCAGCACACCAAGAGCCCCAGACCTAGAGGTGAGAATGGAGGGGGGGAGGGTTACGAACTAAGAGAGTCATATTGTCCTTGAGTGTTATACCAGGTATTTAACTTTCATCTTAAAAGCTTGTTTAGGTACTTTTCATTTCTTGTCTATCGAATGTCTTCATCTTTTGGTGACTTGTACTTTAGAAAAATAATATTAATTGATCAGAATTTCTTATTCAGATTTAAGTTCGAGAAAAGAGCTTTTTTGTTGTAATGTTCATATAGTGCATGAGCAAAAGTGACCTCGCGGTATGTTTTTTGTTCTTGCTCTCGTAAGTCATATCAGCTGACTCAAGATTGACAAATTACTAATTGCTTTCTTTGTGTGTCCCTTTTCAGGAGATGGAAGTTGATAGTGATGATGAAGACTATACAGGTTTAGAAAATTATTCTTTGGAAGAAGATCTGTTCTCTCAGGAGGAGCCACGCCACTCAAGACGCATAGAGCCACTCAGTAAGGAATTTTGTGGTTTTTTTCCTGTTGTTTGTGCCTGCTTATCCTTTTCTGTCATGGCCCCCTGAGCCTACAGGACCCATGCACCTGGGTTTGTTTGGGTCAGCTGCAAAAGCACACCAGTGCTTTCTGAGATGTGCATTCAGTGCCCAGAAGGGTAAAGGTATCTCACACTTGGGCATACTCTTTGGTCATTTGGGTTGAGAGCTTGGCAGCAGCAAGGCAGACAGATATGAGTTAAAGATTATATAAAGATTAGGGGAAATTAATAGAGCTGCTAGCTGTGCCTGCCAACTTCCCAGCCATGAAGTTAGGGCCTTATACAAGCCCTTTCTTTTGCACAATGCTAGCTGTGTTTTAAAACTTGTCATTCAGCGACTCCCCCCCCCCCCCCCCCCCCCAATACTTACTAAAGGTACTTACCCTGTGCTACAGCATTGAACTTTTGAAGATATCCATCTTTTTTTGTTGGATGTAGCACTAGGCAGAGGGGAACACTCTCGAAGGCTACTGGATTAAAAACAACAAAGCCTGTCATTGGCTTTTTGACTGACTGATATGTGTGTGTGTGCCTAAAGAAAGGTACCAAAAGTCGGGTTTTGACCATTTTGAGTTAAATGTTGTACCTTATTGGAAATTCAATGCTGAACACAGTGGTTTGTTAATTTTTGAGGTATCTCGTAGTTTTTGAGATATTGCACATTTTATGAGGGAGGATATCAAGATCTTATTTTGAGAAAATTAGCTTAAAATTATTCAAAATAAAATATTTAGAAGTCAAATCAATGAAAACCCTTTAAACACATTTTTTTTAAATGGTGGAACTATTTTTTAAAATATGGAAACACATTTTTGGTTAAAAAAGTGATTTTTTGTCATTATCAGCCTATAGCTCAAAATGGTCTGTGGTGACTTTTGGTACTTTTCTTAAGGCACACATACATTATCGAATTTTTTTATATTTTTTTTTGGGGGGGGTTTGTTTGTCTTTCTGCTATGAGGGTAATATAAAGAAAAATGTCCATTTTGCAATGAGGTTAAAGTGGGTTCTTAAAGTGTTTCTTTTTATACTATGTTAGAACTTAACAGTTCTTTTTTTTTTTTTTCTTTTATTGACAAAGAATGCGATTTTGGTTGTGATTTTTATCTCAAATGTATAAAGTTAGTGACAGAACTTTGTACTTGGTTATATCGTTTGTTTTTGTTGTTTTTTACTAAACTATGTGTTCTGCTGGGTACCACATTTTTCTGAATCGTTTTCAGTGGTTCTTATTCCCTCATCTTTTGCAGTGTCTGATGGTGTTGAGGATGATAAACTGGCTTTAGAACAGTTCACAACAGAATTCACCAACAGGTTTGTTGACTTCTTCTGTTCCGTACTGTCGAACAACCATTTTTTTGACAACAGCTGTTGATGGAAATGAATGTAACTTCTGTATGTTTTTTGTTAAATCTTGTACTATTTTATAAAAAGCGGGGTGGGAGGTCTCTGTAAAAAATATTTCATGTTTTGTTTAATGTGATAAACATGTGAAGAGCTATTTGACGCATGTGGTACTTCTTGTACAAATTACGAGGCTGAGGCAATCGCCATTGAAGCAGCAATCCTCCACCTGACCAACATTTTCATAATATATCCAAACAAAATCAAGAACACTATTATCTTCACAGACGGAAAGTCAGTACTCCAAGCTCTGGAAAACATGAATTTTGAAAGCTCAGCCTGCCTATCTGTGGCTCAAACAATCAACACCTTCCTACAGACCTATGCCGTCGACCTGACACTACAGTGGATACCTGGCCACAGCAACATCCCAGGAAACGACAGAGCAGACACCCTTGCCAAGAAGGGAGCATCACAAACACAACCACACAACCCAGTATCACAACAGACAGCCAAGAACATCATCAAATGCAACACCAGGGAACAGTGGCTGAATGGATGGGCAATGGGCAAAACTGGAAGAACTGTATTTGCACACATGACAGCCCCCAACTCTAAAGATGCAATAAATTCCCTGAGTAGAAGAGAACAAGTCACAATATTTCGCCTGCGAACACAACACATACCACTAAATTCCTACCTTAATAGGATCCGCAAGGATACCCCACCCGACTGCCCGTTGTGCGACTGCCAGGATGAAACAGTACCACACCACCTCTTTAACTGCCCTGCACTTTGTGACCTGCGTAGCACCTACCTACCTGCCTCCCCAGACATCGGAAACACTCTATACAGCGACAAAGCACAGCTGATTAAAACCTGTCAATTCTTTGCCATATCGACAGACCGAAGGGCTAGAACCCAAATGGCCGCTGGATCGGAAAAGTAAAGTAAAGTAAAGTAAAAGTTTAATGTGATAATGTGATATCCTGAAATAGCCCGCTGAACTAAGGAAGATAATGTGGGGATTTAAGCATATATATATATATATATATATATGTTATCATTGTCCCAGAATCTGTGAAACACCTTGTGCAGACTGCTGAAGTTTTTTGTTGGGCTTTTTTTTTTTTTACCCTTTGAAGTCTGCAGAAATAGTGTATACTTTTGGGGTTTTTTTCTCCTGCTGGTTTTTGAAACATACTCTGCAATGGTAAGGGACTGGAAAATAATTGTGCTATGAATACATAAAATTTTGTTTTTTTTTCAAGATATGGAGAGATCCACCCTCAGTTTTTCATTGGCAGTCTGGACGATGCAATACAAGAATCTTTGTCTGTGAGAGCTGCTGATGTAAGTACCTCATCCCTGCCCGATCATAGTTTTTCCCTTTTTGTCAAGTTGTTCTTTTTTTCTCTTTGTTGTTTACAGACTGCAATCTTATATGTTGTTGTTATTGTTGTTATCGGTCCAGCAACAGCTGGGCTCTTGCCCTTCTGTCCAATGCCATGTAGTGATAAGTGCAGGTTTGCTGCAGTTGCTGTAAAGTTCCATAGAGTGTGTTGTCACTGTTAGGTCTCGGAGGGAGAAGGGCAGCTCTGATGTCATTTAGGGGTGTGCAGTGGAACAGTTGATGATCCACAGTCTCATATGCATAGTCACACAAGGGACACATTGGGGGAAGTTGCAATCTTATATAGATACATATATTGTTTGAATAGTTCTGACTTGGAATTAAAATTATGATTGTTTCCAACTTCCTGTCATGTACTTCTTTCACACTCTAAACATTACTGACAATAATTTGTTTCATACCATTTTCAAAGATAGCTGTGTCAAATGCTGTAGTCAAAAAGCATTTTTCATGAATTCACCTTACTTTTAGAGGACGACCTTGTGTTGGTAAACATTGTGGGGAAAAAGCAACTTCAGCTGCCAGATCTGATACAGTTTTTGGCAATCATGGTTCACCACTCATTGCTCTACTCAGATGCCCTCAAAAATCATTAGAGAAATGAAGTGCAATACTGAAAATCATGGTCTAATGGTTATGCTCTCGGACTCGCCACTATGTCACGAGTTCAAATGCCATCAGGGGGCTTGTCTATTGTTTTACACAAGTTTCCCTCACTACATCAAGGTGGAAATGGGTATCCGGCTTCAGATAGTGAAAAATCTTCTTAGTTTGTTTGTGTTTGAATGTTTAATCGGCTGTTTGCACCCCATACTTTTCAGGGAGCCAAGAATTCTAGGGTTTGCTAGGGTGAAGCACATAGAACATGCTGTGGAGCATTGATATATGTATTATTCTCAATCTTTATAAACATGCTATTATTATTATTATTGATCTCCAACTCTGTGTGTCTCCAGCGCAAGCTCTTGGCAGTCTACCTCCACCATGATAGCAGCATCTTCTCCAATGTGTTCTGCTCACAGCTGCTGTGTGCTGAGGGCATCGTCCACTACCTCAGTGTGCACTTCCTCACTTGGGCCTGGGACCTCACCTCACCGGACAACACAGCCAGGTAAGGCTTTTGATTGTCGCTTAAGCTGGGTTGAAGGTTATTTGGGAAGACTCGTGGTCTGGAGGTGGTTGGTTGGTTCCTTTTTTTCAGTGTGCTGGGCCTACTTTTGTGTCCACAGGTGGGGTGCTATTTGCGTCTTTTTTCCTTTCTTCCACCAGGTACTTACATTTTCTGGAAAAAAAAATCCTAAGTTTTTGATCCCAGGAGATAGATATTTTGCTATGACATACTTCCTAATCAGTTTCAAACATTAGTACTCTGCCACAAGCTGTCGCAAATCAGTGCCTTTTCTTAATCACAGCTAGAGCGTCCTGGTCAAAGACTCTACACTGGTCTCTCATCTACAGACATTGCTCGGCGTGTATGTGCTTTCTCTTCAGCCAAAAACACTGTCCATAGTGAATTTTTTTTTTCTTTGCGATTTTTTGTCTATATGATTACTGCTCTTGTGATTTTTGAGCTGGCCCTATCATAGTGTGTCTAATGTCCCCCCCCCCTCCCTAGATTCCTACAGGCAGCCACCCGCCATTTTGGCAGTCTTGCAGCATCCCAGATGAGAAACTATACACCAGACCAGTTGCCTTGTCTACTGTTGATATCCAGGGCCAAGGCCACCAATGAGGTTATAGCTGCTATACAAGGTAAGGAACAAGTAAGATTTGTCAGGTGGCTTGAGAATCTTGTAGTTTTAGGTCTCATTGGTAAAATGTGAGGCAGCATGGTGAAATCAGGCGCTCGTCAAAATAATGAAAGTCAAGAAACTGGCATTTTTCTGCAGGTTTGGAAATGTGTATCTAATTTTTTTATTTTTTGCTCAACACCTTTCATAGCCATTAAAGAACATACTTCTGTGTTGATTTTTCTGAAAAACGTTGATTAAAGGTGTAAAAGATGTAAATTTTCAGTTTCCACGGACTCTGAAGATAAGGAAATAACTCAATTTTGGTGGCCATCTTCCGCTAATTTTACCTCTGAAACCAGGTGACCCCCACCTCTTTCAGTTTCAAATATCTCAACTTCTATTTCAGATAGATGGGTGTATTTTGTCACGGAAAGCAAGACAACTGAACAAGCTTTAAGATGGTATCAATAACTCAACATGCTCAAAAATTGATGAGCGCCTGATTCCACAGCATCGTGACACAAATAATTGATTATTAGTTGTGTTTGTTTTAAAAAAATAATAGTACACTATTAGAATAAATATCTGACTGAATTAATAGGAATTTGAAATAGTATGCTACATTTGTCCTGCAAATACAGTGGTCTCCGGCTAATAACAGGTGGGGTGAAAACATAATCTGCCTAAAAGCCAGCTGAATATGTTTTTCTCGTCACCTACGGTGCGTGCTATCAGCTAGAGACCACTCTATTTTTATTGGATCCAGGAGTTATAAGTGAATGTCTCAAAAATGGGTACAGAGCAGCTTGGTAGCATTACTAAAATTAACTAAGATGGTTAGCAGATGACTATCAAAATTAGATTTTTGCTGTATGAAAGAGTTGATGAAGAAGAAAAGTACCTCTGTACAAAGAAAGGTATTTTTCCCTTTTTGCCCATGGTATTGTTTAGCTGTATACAACACTTTCTTAATATCATTGACAGCATGGAAAGTATATTTCTAGACAAAATGTACATCCAGTGAATTAAATGTCACTGATATAGTGAATATGATTGCTAGTGAAAGTTTCTTGTGACTTTGTTATGTGCCGTGAGTTACGATAATTCAAATGCCATGGGGGCGGGGAGTACTTACGTACAATTTATACATTCCTTTAACCAACGTTTAAAACGAGATTATTGCATTCAAATATTAACAGTGTCGAGCTGGGTTTACTGCAGATTTAATCAGGAGCTTTATTACTTCTAGATCCAATGAATCAAAGTGAATGTTTCTCCTGGCTTTTTAGTTTAAGCTCCTTTATGAATTGGTCATCATTTGGCGCAGAGTCAGGTGATGTCTTCTGTTTTGCTTATTGGTTGTTTGCCAAACTTAACTGTAGCTGTCTGATTTACAGGTCATGTGACTTTGGATGAGATGATGACGCGGCTAATCCATGCAGTCGAAGTGTATCAGGAACAGAAGGAGGCAGACATCAATGAGGAGGTGTGGATTCACAAGACTTAGATTTAGAGGGGTTGTCTGGAAAAAGGGATGGTGATGGGACTTGTTGACTTTAATCACTCTATTGGAAATGGCTTTTTTTGAAGACGGTGTTCTTTACAAGGAGAAAAGCTTGAAGTAATGAAAACTGTTCTTTCCTGACTGGGATTAGAATCTCAACTTTCTACGAGTTTGGAAAAGATCATGGCCTAATATGTAGATGTGAGATCTTCAGGCCTTTGGACTGAGAGAGTTGTTGAAATTGCCTTCCCAAGTTGACTTTTTATCTGAGTCTGCTCCCCAGAACAAAGTAGTAACTTGGAACACAAATTTGGACAGCCTCTGTTGTGAAGAAGGCAAAGCAGATTAAGAGGTTTTGCCTAACTGAAAGTGCATGTTTCAGTGCTTCCACTCTTCCGTATTTTTACGGAAATCCGTACTTTCTGCCAGTTCCGTACTTGTTCCTCCTTCATTATCAACTCCCTCTGTAAAAAACTGCGATAGTGTAGGACTACCGAAATTCCGTAGCAAAAGATCCGTACTCGACTTCGTGCCGTCATGTATAAGTTAAGGATATTTACGGTAATTCTCTCAGCAATAAGTTAATGGTATAGAGACCTGCCAGATTGCGCATTTCCTGCTATCGGCCATTATTCCGCTATACCCCATGCGTTCATTGCAGGTTGGTAGGCAGTACATTTTTACTTGCAGATTGATCAAAATCTGGCAAACTTTTTGTACCAATTTCCTCCTTTCTGTCATTCACTCATTCCGTTTATCTTCGGACTGTTGGCGCCTGGAAAATCTGAGCGTTGATCAAGTAAATTGACTTGTGATCTTAGACAGAAAATTACTGTCAGAAAGAAACTTGCTTACAAATTTATTGTATAAATCTAGAGAAATTATCAATGCGAATATTCTACGACTCGGGAACGCGATAAGGGCTGTGATGAAAGAAATTTATGCTAAAACTACTAAAATCAAGAATAAATCGAAGTGGTGTTCGGGGGTTGTAACATGCAATATGCAACATTCAGAAGTAAAAATTGTGGAAAATTAGGGTATCCGCAGGGTAACTGTATTGTGAAGGTACATATCTATACTTTTCCTTTTTCCCAGGTTTGCCTTTATTCAATGGTGTAATGACATTTTAATTGAATTATAGTAGCAATGGAAGGGGAACCTACTTTTAAACATTGCCAGCAATGGAAAAATATGTAGGTGAAGAAATCAAACTAGACAAAATGTTGGTGAACAAATAAATGTTATGGGATGTAGGCAATCTCTTCAAACAGGCTCCCAAATGCCATTTTTAACCCTCTAAAAGCTCTAAAGCTCTAAATGTCAATATCTTCGGGGGCTTCGCCCCCTGGACCCCCACCAGGACTCTGTCCCTGGACCCAGTTGGGGACTATGCGACCCCCGGGCCCCGGCAAAATTTTTCTTACTTTTAAGCTTCAGCTCTTTATACTGATAATAAATTCAGTTTTTGAGACTATTGCTGCAGTACCTCATTATGGTTAGCATTCATAGCCCAATTCATTGGTACGGTACAGTTATGACCTATGTGTAGTTTCTTTCACTTTGTTGGGGGGGGGTTGTTTTTGTGTTTTCCTCTTTCTTCATTTCTGGCTTTGAAAACTGTCACTTTGGCCTTTCTCATTCTGCTGGCGGTCTTATTTTTTATGTGATTAGGTCTTTAGATTTGAAGTCTAGTTCCTGTTTGCAAAGTGTGATACATAAAAAATGAATGATGTTTAAAATTTGTTTTTCCTTTTTATCTTGTTAATAGAAAGAAAGAGAAGCAAGAGAAAGAATCAAGCAAGAGCAGGATGAGGCATATCAAGAATCTTTGGCAGCTGATAGGAAAAAGGTAAGGCATTTGAGACTGGCTTTAGGGGGCTGAGTAGAGTCGCAGCGGTCTTGATTTCTGCCAACTTGTCAACCAAGTATGTCATTTGTACCTTGTTTAAACAAAAGTATGTGTTTGTGTCCTTATCTTCCTCCTAGCTTTGCAACAACATATTGAGGCTGGCAGGTCATGCTATATTGTTTTCGTATATATATATATATATATATATATGTGTGTGTGTGTGTGTGTGTCACGACGCGGTGGAATTAGGCATTCGTCAATTTTTGAGCATGTGGAGTTATTGGTATCAACTCAAAGCCTGTTCATTTGTCTTGCTTTTGATAACAAAGATACACATCTATCTTGAATAGAAGTCGAGGTTTTTGCGATTAAAGAAGGTAGGGGTCATCTGGTTTTGGAGGTTACATTAGCGAGAAAATGGCCGTCAAAGTCTGGTAACTTCAAAAGCTTGAAAGTCATTGATTACTTAAATTTTACAAATTCTGTGCCTTTATTGAGCGTTTTTCAGTTTTACACATACACGTGTAGTTACATAGACGTAAAAGGTGTTGAGCCAAAAAACAAAAATTCAATAAAAATTGCCAAACTGGCAGAAAAGTGCCTATTTCTTCTATTTTATTATTTTGACGAGCGCCTGATTTGACTACATTGTCTCACATATGCTCCCACTCAACCGGTTAAATAAATTGAGAGGGTGGGTGTGAGGAATTTCGTTTTGAACATGGGGATGCCATGAAAATTGATGAAAATTAACACTAGAAAAGTGAAAGTTGGTATAAATTGATTTTTGAAAGTAGAACGCAAAAGAACTCAATAATAAATAGTGCTAACTGTTGTTGCTAATTTTTAAAGTAAGTTGAACAAGTTTTTGTTTGATTCAATTTAAATTCAGAATTATGCTGGGTACATGTGAGATTTCAATAACGCAGACATTGGTTTACATTATATTCAGATGAGATTATAATGTAAATAGACGCAAGGGTGACCCTGTTTGTTAGCTTGTTGTACTACCATATACTCTTGGAGATGTTTCAGTGTATGAGTTTTAGGACATTTTTTTTTACTCTCATGAGCAAACATTCTTTTGGAAAAAAAATGTTGAGTAACAAGTACTTTGTTTATTCATTTTATCATGCCTATGTTGTGGAATAGTACAGTACAGTACACAGATGAATATGATTTTGAGGATGTGGACAAGTACATGTTGTCTATTTTTAGCACTGTTTTACACTCTCCGTACAATTGCAGGCAGAGGCTCTGAAAGAAGAGGAGGTCAAGAGGCAAGAGGAGCGGGCACGTGAGATGGAAAAACAAAAGAAAGTTGAAGATCAGAAAAAAGAGGATGAACTCAAAAAAGAGGTGAGGGGTTTTTCATGCTCATTTGCTGGAGCCTGATTTTTGGGAAAATGTGAATTCTTCTGACTTTAGGGCTCAGTCGTCCTGCTGCAAATGTCACCACTTGATGAAAATAAAAGTCAGATTGGAAATCTACAGGAATTGAACTTTAGTGTATATATATGTTTATGTTTATACTTACTCATTATCTACAAGTTCCATCATAGGTTGAGAGATGACAAATGGGGATAAATTTTCTGTAGACATTTTTCCATAACTTGTGCAGCATCTTTTAAATTTTTCTTTTTTTTTAATAGTTTGGCCACTTCATACCATATTGAACGGTGTTAAGAAAAGTTTTTGTGGTTCTACTTTTCCATCATTCTTTTATACCAGGAATTCTGCGTACACTACTTGTATTGGCTAATTTTACATTGAATTATTTTTGTGATTGCAGATTCTATGAAAGTTTGAACTGACATCTTTGAATTGATTTATGCTGGGGATTTTTTTTTTCACCACAATCGTTATTTATTCTGTTGAAAGTTGTAGCTATTGCCTCAGTTGGATGCCCCTGTTTTATGATGCAATCCACTTAATTAAATATTCTATTATTTTTCTTGAATGTCAAGTACAGGCACTCTTGGAAGGATGAGAGGTTGGTGTTTATTTCAGACAGAAATAAAATCATGAAGATGGGTAAAAAATTAACTTAACCTGTAGCGTTAACTGCAGTATGTAGGCGACATGTCCAGATTTTTAATTAATAGAAAAATGAGACACATGTCAGTTTTTTTGCGGCATGGATCAGTTACTTCACTGAGATGTTCTTTGTGTCCACTCACAGGCTATCAGCAAGTCAGTGGCCAAGTCTGTTCCAGATGAGCCTGTGGCGGGCAGTTCGGACAAAGTGAGCAATTTGCGGTTCCGAGTGATGGGCGGCGAGATGATCACACGCCGCTTCTACGCTCACAACTGTGTCGGGGACATCCTCAACTTTTTAACCTCTAAGGGCTTTCACACGGAGGATTACAAAGTCCTGACGACTTTTCCCCGCAGAGATGTAAGTTTTTCTTTGGCTCAGTTGTGGAAGGAGCTTTGACTACATTGAGTGATTGTGTTTGCAGGATTTGTAGGATTCCTTGCCCTGTCTTGAAAAGATTTGCTAAATGTAGATCATTATTTATATTGACACTGAAATTCATGTAACTGAAAAAAAAAGTGTGCGGATAGAGATTTTTAAATTTGGGTGGTTGGTGGGTTCTCTGTTGTGCTTTACTCCTTTCCAATCAAACATCTATCTTTCCTCCTTCATATGAAATGCTTCTCACTCGAATTAAAAGCCAAGATAATCGACAAAGTTGACAAGAAAAGGAAGACTAATCTAAAGCAAAAATTGTATTATATGGAAGGGATGTAATCATGTGGAGTTTTAGAAATTTGGCGGTAATTTTCCCTTTGCATTCCTATAGTGGGAACTCACCTAGAGCAGGATTTTCTTTCTGGAACCAAAAGTCCCTCTATAGTCGTGTTCTACTGTACTATTTTATGTGTTGAAAGAGATTTGGTGTTGCTTCAACTAGCTGGGATGTTTATATTTGTGTTTTGTCCTTTTTGGGAGGTGGTTGTGGGATGGTGGGGGCTGTTGTGTTGTCTGTTGTTCCTATTTGTGTGTAGTGCTGCTTCTTCTTGCAAGTGGGAGGTTGTCACTTGTAGGCCTATTTTCTTTCTCTTTCCCTCTGTTGTTTTCGTCTGTTTTACTTTTTCTCTGCATTAAGCAACCATTATTATGTGAATACGCTTCTCTTAACTTGGGAAAAAAAGAAGCTCGCCTCCTGTTGGAATTGGGCCGTTATTTTACTGACCTGTCACCAACAATGATTTAACGACTGTCTCCTCAGATCTCTACGCTAGACAAGTCCCAGAGCTTAGAGAGCTGCAAGCTGTACCCTCAGGAGACGCTCATACTGGAGGAACGGTAGCCGCTGTTCGACCGTCAGATCTGGTCGTGCAGACGTGCTCGGCCAGTGACAGACTGAACGGTCTGATGTGTACAATGGTGCTGTCTTTCACAAAAGTCCCAACACCCCCCTTTAAACCCCCCTCTCTGGACTCTAATCATTATTTGACAAAAGTAAGGAATAGCCCCTCGAACAGATGTGATGCAGCTGTTGCCATTCAAGGGAACAGTTGTGCTGTCAGAGTATGTGAAAAAGTGTGAATCTGAGTGCACCAAGTTTTTAAAAGGGGCTGTTCTTTTCTTTTGCTGATTTTAAAAAAATCTCTATAGTGTACTTGTAAAGAAATGAAGTGACCTGATGCCGTAGGACATCTCAGCTGTCCAGACTAACGGTTTGTGTGGATTTGCCTTGCCCTTCTTTTGTTGGGACTCAGTCTCGAGGGAAACCTGCGATTGTGTGTAGATGTGTGCGGCCAACTGTTAGACAGTTATTCTTTCTGTTTTGTATGAGCTCTCATTTTAGAAGATGTTGGTAACGAAGTGTTTCAAATGAGTGGACTAAAATTGCTACATGATTTTGCCCAGGAATAACTAAAAAACTTGTGAAAAATTATATTAATAAAACATTTGAAGTCAGCCGTATCTGTAGCTATTTGTCACAATCATAACATAATTATAGTGTAAGTCATTTTCAATTGTTTCAAGAAACATTTTTTTAAAATGCAGAGGTAAACTTGTCTTAATTCAAGCTTTTGACTCTTGCGCAAAAGAGAAAATGTCTCAATATTTTGATATTCAGAACCTGACACAAACCTCTGCTACCTTGATTATTTGGAGCAAGTTGCGATAATTTTTACTGAATCCAACGACCCCTGGGGGTACATTTTGGAAACCGTCTTGAGAAATAAAAACATCTTTTACCATTGAAATGAAAAATGAGGTTGCCTTTCTGACAAGCTTATTTGTTGTCTTAAATCTAAAAAAAGATGGATATGTTGGTCATGGAAGCACAGGATGGATGGGTGAGTGGATGAAATGTATGTTACCATGTGTTTGCTGTTCTCAACTTTGTAAAAGTGCTAGTCAAATGTTCACAAACTCTTGAGTATTTGAAGACAAAAACAAGTGTGCTCTGTGGAGAGAAAAATATGTACATGAAGGAAGAGTGGAATTTTTTCCTTATAGTTTTCTCAGGCACAAACATCGTCAGTTGTTTTACAATCAAAGTTGCACTTGTTTCATGCTGCGGCTGGTTTTTTAGTTCTAGTGTGTGTTCAGTTGTTTTTATTTACCGAGTGCCAGTCAGTGTTAAGAGTCGGTGAGCATTTTTTATGTATAGATGTCTTTGGAAGATGGAATGATTTGTCTGTGGGAAGAGTACAATATCTCTACTGTTGCCATTGCTGGTTATGAGTGCGAGTTGCTGTTGTATGTACCCGCACCTTACTTCTCAAGTAAACTTATGTATTTTTTGTTTGCAAGATATGATGCAAGAATGGGAAATGTGCAAAGTGCTACAAAGAAAGATTTTAAAAAAGCTGAGTGTAGACTGCTGGGTTAGGTCGACTTCCGGTTCTCTTAAGGCTTTCAGTTTTTACACTACCAGGGCACTGGTAATCAAAATTCAATTCGCTTGATGAATTATCCATTGTGGCGTAAATAATTTGAGTTTCATATTTGTTTGTCTCAGTTGTTTGTCATTTGTGACAGTCGTCATAAAAGTCATTGCAGCAAATACTGATGAAATCCTCTTTCAAATTGTATTTTTTAAAATATAGCAATCTAGTGTCTGATTCTATCAGTTGCAACTGCTGTCACAATGCCAAAGAATCAGATAATCCCTTGTTTACATTCACATTAAGGACTGTTTTTCTTTTTCTTTTTTTTTTCTCTTACGTTTCCCTCTTGATTTTGGGATGGTTTGACTATAGGTTCTTCAACACACAGAAAGGCTAATGATATACCACAGAGCCTGTTTTTAATGCAAGAAGGAAAGATCCCCAGCGAAAGGACAGGTGATATGTTTCAGTTGGCTTTCTATGACACTTTCAGTGTGCAAGATGCTGTGTGGAAATCACTGCCATACGTGCCAGTTGTATGTGCTGCGCCCAAGAGTGTATGTTAGGACATAACTGCATTGATGTGGATGTTATAATTTTATGGCAGCACAATCTCCCTGCTTCACACTCATAACATGATGTGTCCACTTATTTGGACATGGTATGTAATCATCTTTCTTTTTATGTTGTATGGCACGTGGAAACATTGTTATGAGTCATGGTAGTGTGTGTGAGTGAGGGTAAGCAACAGGACAAAGTTTGTGCCTGTACATCGCGTATTATACTACAAATGTATACCTGAAGACCACTCTGCGTTACTCAGAGTGAAACTGGTCACAATTTGGTTGTATTTGTGTGTGCATGTATGTAGTGATATCATATATTATTATAATGGGATATTTTGCCAGAAGTAGCGGACTGAGACTGAATAAAAGAATATGTAGAACCGGCTATGTGAGAAAAATACTGTTGAGCGACAGATGGTGAGCGAGAACATGACTGCTGAGAAATAAGCTGGGTCTGCTGGGACTTCTCTGTGACCTTTCCTTTGTTTGGGTGTTTGTTAAGTTTTAAACAAATGAGAGAACATTTTAAGGTGTATGTTTTGCATTTTGTAATGGGTAAGCAAAAGTCTTCAGTTCAGTCATCAAAAGAAAGCATGTAGTTCAGTGCTGGTCCTTGAATGAAATTGAAAATATTTTTTTTAAAATGTTGACCTGGCTTTGACTAAGTGTTCTGTTTGACTTTTCCTAATTTCTTCAAATTGTTGGCTGATGCAAGTCAGTCCACAACCATTGAGCTGCTTTTCTTTGTAAGTCATCCTTATTCTGTGGAATGTTTGATGTATAAAGAGAACATAGATATGCTCTTTAATTTACTTTTTCTGTGTTCCATCTGACCACTTGTAAGACTTGCATGCTCAGCTGCAAATAAATGAAACTTTTGGATTCTTGAGTCTGAATCTGATGCAGACCATTTACCTCTCTCCCATTTTCCGTCTCCCAAACCCCAAACCTTCAAACTCGGGGGGGGGGGGGGGGGGTAACTGGCTTTGGACTTTTCAACCCTCAGTGCAGCTGATTTTTTTGTCTGTGGCCGGTTTTTGTACTTGAGGGGGATGTCCTTTGCTTTTGAAACTCACTTGCCTTTTTTTAAATTCTTAAAGGACCACACATATTGTGACATATGTCCGATCTGCAGCAGACCAAAGGCAAAGTTGCAGCACATTTCGAAGCATCATAGACAAATCAGGAATATGAATGTGCATATTTCATAATATGCACGTTGTTGCTTGCCTTTTTAAAGTTTCAAGTTCAGAAAACAATTTTAGAATCTTTATGGGTAAGGAAGTTCTGCTTGTTTCTTAAAGTGCCTCAAAATAGCTTATCTTCAGTGACTCTTAATGTTTCTGCATGTTAAGTATTCTTTTAAATTTTTTAGCAGGAATTGTGTGCAATTCAGAACTTTGCCGCCTGTGTGCTTAGCTTAGGTAGGCCTACTCCTCTTTTGCTTTCAGGATGTTTTTGCTGTGCACATAGGACCCACCCCACGGTCCTATCGGAGACGGACGTTAAAACTAGGAGGTCCCGCCCCTTAAATAACCTAATAGTGTTGATAGGGGCGTTAAACCTATACCATTTCACATAGGACCCACTGAGTATTTTGTCCTAGTCTGGAAAGACTTGATGCTCTGTTCTTCTACCTGCTCACAGAAAAAAATACTCCTATAAAAGTTGAGTAATTATGCCTGCCGTACACTTGGAATTTCCTTCAGGTGCTTTGCCTTTTGTTGGGAGCATCCATCCTCAAAGATAATAATAGTACATGTACATGTAATTTCTCTGTTGGTATTAGAAATCTTCCAGGGTGGAAGCAAAACACTTTGTCTCTCCATCAGCGTGTCCCTACTCTCTGTGTGTCTCTACTCTCTGTGTGTCAGGTTTGTAAATAACCAACCTTTCTCCAGCCACCAGCTGTGAACACTACACTTTTCTCAACCTTGTGGCTGCTAAAAATAAATGGGCAACTGTGTCGGATATATTGTCAATATATGGTGTGTGTGTGTGGGGAAGAGATGTTTGCTAAGATGTAGTCATGCCTGCTGCTGTCGGCTGTATGTGTGAGTATGCTACAGATTGTGCTTAGTGGTCTGTGTAAATGTAAGTCTGTCTGAGAGCAGAATTTGTACCATAAAGTAGTTGTATTTATTGAATGTATACATGACTGGAATAACCTGTACAGATGATTTTTTAAAAAACAATATGTGTTGTGTGTGATGGTAGCGAGTAAAAAAAAAAAAGTCACCTTTAACGTTCCAGTGAACTTTCTATGAACTTGTGTCATACTGGAATCTTTGGTTCATGCGAACTGAAGCAAGTGTGTCTGCACGGTGCGCTTAAACCACTCAAATGCCCCCAATGTTCATTACAGATTGATAAATGTACCTGTACGAGTGTCTGACAGGATGCACATTTGCAGACAACTTCCCTATTTTTGCATCCCCACATTGATTTTGCCAGATTTGCAGCTCATTAAAACCTATGTATGGTATATACATTACAACTTGTTCCTTCTTGTTTTTTCTTTAGCTTGATTTGGATAGTACGTTTAGTCTAACAAGATTATTTGGGCTACCACCGGGTGCGTCTGCGCAAAGCATGAAATGCAATACACATATTTAATTATCAACGTTTAAGCCAATAGTCTATGCAAAACCAGATTAACAAATTTGAAGCACAAGACGCATCAGCAGCGGCTGTTAACACAGCAAACTGTGTTCCTGTCCTACAATGATAAATCTGCATCATCTAACTATTCTTACAAATACTAAATGGGCCAACCTGTTGGTTATCTGAAGATAATATATATATATATATACATAATAACCATTTCCCGTACAAGAATTCACTCTTTTATCAGGCAACTGTGTACAATTTTTCGACACAAAAGTCCTCTCACTCGCATGTTAACGTCGAAAGTGTTTACGTTTGGGTTGCAGAATGAATTTTGCCCCTGTCAGAGGCTGCTGATCCTGTCAGAGGCTGCTGATCCAGTCAGAGGCTGCTGATCCTGGCAGAGGCTGCTGATCCTGGCAGAGGCTGCTGATCCTGGCAGAGGCTGCTGATCCTGTCAGGACTCGGGACTACTTTTCATTTGACCTTTGACTTCCTGGGTGTGTTGAACAGGCGTAAGGTGTATCTAAGACCTAATGCACCAGTATTTCATTCTTTTCCCCTCAAGACACATACATAAGGTGTATCGATGACTGAGGAATATTTTATTCTTTTCCCTCTAGACATGTCAGAACCTATCTTCCTAAAGAGGATCACGATGAGAAAAGACCCATTTTCTCAACAACTTTTTGAAAAATGGATGGACCCAACAAGGCCATATGAAACTATCTTCCCAATACGGTTATTTGACAAAACCAGATATGTAACAAGGTCCACAATTGACCAAAAAATAAAAGAAAACATCCACTTTTTGAGTGAATAAACTTTTAATTTTTTAACAAAATATGTACAGGATCTATGTAAATCATAGTGTATACGTAAACCCAACTCAAACGAACAGACCCAGACTGAATGGAGTCCGAACTTCAAGATGATAAAGCACTTCTTCTAAGTTCAAGTGTGGTTCACACTAAAAAAAAACTAATTTTGCCCAAGCCCGACTCCATTCTTCAGAAGCAACTGCTCGTATGAAAGCACTGGGGGCTCTTTTTGTTCTTTCCCTTAATACTTGCTTCATTATAAATGCCTCAATAGTAATTTAAACCATTTTATAAAATGCTCGCCCTAGTCACACTTTTTAAAATAACGAACAGTTAAATTTAATTAAATTGAAAGTCGAACCTGACAACTTTGTTATTTAATAATAATTATATTGGAGTTTCACTACTGTATACCAGTAACTAATGATCATAACATACCTGGAATGTCTCCTACATAAGTACATGTATTTAAAAAAAAATAATTAAAGTATAAAAGATTCTTTATCAACGGTTGCATCTTTCAAAACATGTCTATATTCTGTGTCAATAAAATATATTGGGAACAATTTTCTCCACTTATTTCAAATTTAGAAATTTATAAGATAATAGTCAATTTTAATAACACATTTGTAGACATGCTCTGATCAAGTGGGTGTAAAAAGAACATCATTTTCAACCTTCATTTCTGGTGTTCTTTTTGGACAAAAGTGCACTGAATCTGGTCACTAATTCATCAGCTTTAATATAACTGATTCACTGTGTTTATTGAGGTTTCAGAGAAAGGGAGATATGACAAACATCACCTTTGTAGACAGATGATGCGATGGGGACGTCTTCTATTCGATCCATCATCAGGACACAATAATGTGTCTGCAAAAAAGCTTTGCTTTTGTTTCAGTCTTCATTTAAAAAGCTCGTTGACACAATTGATAATTTAGGGCAGCTAAAGTAGGTACCAAAACTAAATTTTCAAAGTAGCAGTATGCCAAATTTATCTGTTCCATATGAAAGGCCTATATCTTCCTAGAATTTTGATACCGTTCTTTAACCTCTCAGTCAATTTTTATAAGAAAATGGTAGCTGTTTTAAATATGATCAAATTTGTTCGCTAGCTGGCTGGAACCTCATGTTTGACAGATGATTAAAGAGTACCAAGCGCTCAACCATCCCCACTTAACAGACTACAATCACTATAACACAGATATAGAGCCTAATTTTTTTCAAGACTGTGAGATCATTGTAAATCAGTATTTTATCACCTCAAACACGATGATCTGTCATTATTCTGACAAAAAGCCCCCGCGGCAAGCGAGGCGGCTCTATACTGTAATGTACTGAATGCTACCTGCGTGGGGAGGGGGGGGGGGGGGGGGGTGTGTGTCTCATGCTTTCCGAGGTTCGCGGAAGGATTGATGCAAAATAATTCCAGGCCGATTGCTTTATTCTAATAGAAAATACTTTACATATTTCGAGTAAAAAATTATCTTTGAAAACTTGCAGGGTATTTTTAAAGGCTTTCTAGTTCTAGGGTATTTAAATTAAACACCAAAAGCCAAAAATACACACTGGTAAGCCCTTTCAAAGCTCTACAGTTCTCCACCAATGAAAAGACGGTATTTAATCATCAATCCTTCCGCAAAGCATTTGAATACACGTGTGTCAATTTTTTAACCGGCCAACCACTCTTTCCAACCGTGAGGGGAATCACTTTCCACGGCAATTCTTCAGCTCCTAATAATCGGACACATAAACAACTCACACCATTGTAACGAGGAAAAGCTGAACTTTACAAGGTGTTCAGCATTTGGTGTTTTGTGGCGAAAGAGCAAAGAAACAGTGATCTGAATTACCCCGACTTCACTGAAATCACGCGCTCGGAAGGCCGCGAGTGACGCGAGGCCGTGTTTACGCTACCTAGCTGAAGAGAAAGACATAGAAACAAGGATAATAAGCGTATTCTAACCGCCCCTTTTAGATTTCTCAGGTAAAATGTACTTTTGTTGCACAAAAGGTTCACTGTATCTTATATTTTATTATTGAACTTCGAACTAATGAAAGGGGGCTCTCGTGGCCTAGAGGTTCAGGTGTTTGCCTCTCATTCAAAGGTCCCGGGGGTTCGATCAGGGTAGTGATGGAAAAATTTTCTTCTCTAAATTTGTCTCCTTTCAGCCCCTTTCCTGCTCTCTAGCAATGTTCTGTCGTCTGCTTTCGTCACCTCCTTTGCCCTACCCTCAGGGCTCCTGACTCTTTCTGCAGCCTTTCTACTGCTACTCCTAGGCTCCTTCTTACTGCTGTCTTTCAGCCACATCCCTGATCTTCTGGTAGGAAAGATCTACGCTTAGCTTTCTCAGACAAGGGTGAAAAATCTCGGAGGTCCCGTGTGCAAGTTGCGCATGTTAAAGATCCTTTGGTGGTCTAAAATAGTTCACAGTAGGCTTTGGCTGCCACCCAGGGAAAATTCAAAATGTCCTATCAACTGAAAATGTTTAGTATGACCTTATGCAGTTGCGAGCGCCGTAAAACACTTACCAACCAAAAAAACCCAAATGAAAATCGGAAGCAAAAAAAACAACTTTAAGACTTTGTCTTATTTACAATGTAACAGGTAGACAATTAAAATCTTCATACTATATATGCAGTATAAATACATTTGTACATATCACAGATCTGTAATGTATGCAAGGGGAAGGATATCCGAAGTTGTTCAACTTAAGATTACAAGTGTAATAGTTGAAATAGGACGAGCAGCAAAGATTACAGTGGAACTCGGATTCAACGAAGTCGCCGGGCCTTGCCTAAAATCTCGTTGAATCCGAGTGTTCGTTATAGCAAACATGAGGTTTTGTATAGATAATTACAGGCACTGAGCAAGTAATATTTAAGAGAAGTCACAAGTAGTGCCTGAAGTGCCTGCATATTATGAGCTGTGCACAAAATAAAAAGTTAAAAAAAGACCGATTCGCTCAAATGCACACGCCTGTGTTATCTCGATTGTTTATCAAAAAGTTGTGTTGCTGTGAAGAGCCTAGTATACGCAACTTTTTATTCCACTGACCAGAGCACAATTTATTACGTAGATCTACGTCAAGACTAGCTCATCATTGTAATAGTGATCACTTGCCGAGGGGAAAAAAAGACTGTGATGCGTTAGTATCGGCAACATTCAACACTCAGACAGCTGGTGCCCCTCCCCGACACGCACACACACACAGTCACACGCCGCCCATCCGACCCAGGCTAGAGTAGACACGTGCACGTGCCAACAACGCATGTGTTGGTATGAAAAAAGGCTGCTGATTGGTTGCATGCAATCGGCTAAGTGAATAATAGTACACTACGCAGATGCAATGGAAGGTTTCCGGGAATAGATAAAGTTCGTTGTGGGAGAAAAATGAGTGAAACCACATCCGTGCGGGCTGTTCACCCTGGAAGCGACCTCGTTGAATCTAAGCTCGCTGATTTAAGTGCTCGTTGAATCTGGGTTATTTTAATAGATTTTTAAGAAGGAAAAAAAACGGGTAATCTATCTCCTCTCGTTGAATCCGAGTTCTTGTTGAATCCGAGTTCCACTGTATTAACATTTGGAACAAGCCCACCAAAGATGTACCAAATATGAGGGATACAAAATACAAATCAACAATAGAACAGGTTCAGAGGAACGGGGTAAGAGTAGTCTTCAACACAATTAAAACTATTTCAATAGTTCTTCCAGATATCCTTGAAAAAAAAAGACCTACATATTAATATAAATATCAAGGTTAAAAGTCGCAAACCATGCAAGTCTACAATAATGTAAAGTTTAATTTTTGTCTGAGAAGACTTATTGGAAACCTTCTTGCATCGAAGTGCAAGTTAACAGAGTGATAATCTTTAAATACGGTATCGGGGGAAAAAAGTGTATATTATTATATTATATTTGACTCTCGCACACTGCTTTCCTTGGAAGTAGTAATTTTACACTTGCACGCTTTGAGACTGTAAACGTGGATACATCTAAAGCATTAAGTTGTTTTTGGCATCAGGTTCTGCACATAAATCCCAGCAGAGAAGGTTGACAAAGAGCTTGGGTCACAGCGCATCACTCTCAGGAGCGGACTCCTTCCTCCTGCTCCACAAGTTCCAAAGCTTCTTTGAAGGTCATTCTGGGCTTGCGGTTCTGCTTGATGTACTGTTCAAGACAAAGAATTTTTGGATTGGATATAGATTAGGTGGTATATTTCTGGAGATGTGAAAAGGTTTAACAACAATAATACTAAGTTATGCTTATTTATGAAGATGTCAAGAAACAAAGCTATGGTCAATCTCAGCAATGATAATAGTAAGCTGATAAAGAAAAATACCTCACAAATCAGCGAAACCGATTTGAGGTTATAAATCACATCGATTATACCCTATTATTTTTGTACTGTTAATCGTGAATCACTTTAATCTCGGGCCTCATTATTCTTGTGTATCAATTATGGGAGTGGATAAAGAGGGAAAAAAAAAGGATAAAGAATTGTGTCCAAAGTCTCAAGATCTCATTACCCCATCTGTAAACTCTGTAAACCCAATAAATCGGATGTCATAGTATTATACATTTTTCATTTTCTTTGAACTACTGCATGTTACATGTTAGTAGTATGCCTGGAGATTCAGAAAAAGGTGTATCATCCAGTCCAGTACACAATATGTGCAACAAGTATAGTGAATTACGAATAACATCTGAATTTCGACCTTCTCGTCAGTTTTATGGTTTCCCATATATGCTGTCATCTCCACGTAAACCCATTTCTACTAATTTCTCAGTTTTTGAAGCTGACCTGAAGATGGTAACACAGTGGTCAGTAACTATGCCCCTCGTCATAGCACAGTGAGTTCTGGGGTATCACATCCTCTCAGGAACAGAGACTATTTCAACAAACACACAGACAACAACCCATAACAAGGAAAGAGTTGGACTGGAATCCATAGGGTAAAAGAACAAGCGGAACCAGGAGAAGAGTCACAGAAATTGATGTACAGAAAAGTGGGAAGACATGGAATAACATCAAGAGGCGAGTCCAGGATAGGGAAAGGTGGAAAGTGTTTGTTCGTGGCCTATACTCTGATCCGGGGTGAGAAAGGCAATGATGATGACGGTAGACAAGAACAGAATGCCAACACAACTTCATCTCACTTTCTAGAAGCTCAGTGACTTACCTCTTTGGTGTCCTCCAGGGTGGTGTACTTGAAGTCTTCCTTGATGCCGTCCAGGCAAGAGTGGTAGATGCCGCGCTGGATATCAGCAAAGTTCCTCACTAGCTCCACCTGAGCCTTCATCATTTCATGCAGGGCAAGAACACTGGGACTGTAGGCTGTCATGGCTATTCGCGGAAAAGGGGGGAGGGGGGTGGTGGTGGTGGAAGTGAATAAACTGTGAAAAAAATGCTGAAAGGCCATCTATATATAATGGTTGTTGGTGTATGGGGAGTTTTAAAAAAAATTTTTAGGAGGGGGGGGGGGGGAGGGGAGAAGCGCAAACAGTGAGAATAAGGTGGCAGAAAAAAACTCCTATTTGACACACAAAAACCCTTCAAAACAAATAAAAACAATTAAACAACAAAACCAAGCAATAAAAATTTATCAACCATACTGTATACCTGCTAAGAAATAAAGTTTTTTAGTTTATGTTTAGTAGAGGTTTTACTGCGCTTGCAACACAGTAAGGTCATAAGTGCCGAAGACTAGAGGTGTTACAAGAAAGTAACAAACACAAAACAAAAGGAGGGGAGATCAGGAGGATAGATGTTTGATAGGATAGAAGGAGCAAACCACACCAGAGCACCCGCCAACCACCCACAAATAAAGTTTGAGTGAGACACTCAAAAAGACAATGAAAAGTGTGACCTTTGTGATCTTCATCTCTCTAGATTATAATTAAAAAAAAAAAATTTCAGTATACTAATTTAGGGTCTAAAATTTAAACAAGTGCTCTTTATTTTAAAAAGCACATCTGACTTAAGGGAAAGAAAATGGAGCTCTGCTTTTGGTCAAAGCCCTCAGGTGTGGAGAATTCTTTGTAAGTAGGTTCCAAACTCATGTGACAAGACAACAGAGAGCATAAAAATTTGTTTTGCTAATACAGAAAAACACAAACACACACACACACACACACACACACAAAGACAAGGATGTTTTCTAATCCCTGAGAAAAAACAATCCTAGTTTTATTACAGAAGTTTTATGTTCTCCTTTCACAAAAATTTAACTCATTATCTACGGCAAGTTGCTCCCAGCGGCTCGCAGTCAGAACCGCTGTGCTGGTGCACCGTTGGCAGCGGCTCCGGCACATTCCTTTACAACGACTTCGACGTCAAATTACTTTTCAGCAATTGCTGAGTAAAGGTTTCTTCTACCGCGAGTTTGTTCATTAGATGAAGAACTATCAAAATAGGCTCACATGTTTTGATTTAATAACCAATTTATTGATGTTTTTGTAATTTTTAGATTTAGTGCCAAAAAGGCCCCGCTGTACTGGGTTTACCCCTCCGTCAGAGATAAAGAGTTAAGCATTAAGTCATCATCATCATCCAGTGCCAGATCTGCGACAGACATTGGCAATCATGGTTTTTCCATTCATTCCTTTGCTCGGATGCTCTCAAAAAAGCAACATTTCCCTGATTTTTCCCTGTTACCCATTTGTTTAGGTTCCCTGAGTATGTTGTTCTGGGCCTACCCCTGCCTCGCTTGCCCTCAATTTTGCCAGTGAGAGCTAGATGTTCAAGATCCTTATGTCTATTCAGGTGTCCCAAAAACTGCATTTGTCGTTTCCTGATTGTTTTTAACATTGAGCGTCCCACATGGGCTTCATCAAGCACTACCTCATTTTGATTTCTTTTCCTTCCACGATATTATATGACCTTTCTGTGTTGCTGAAAATCAAAAGGACATACTATCTCTCACCTTCAAGAGCATCTGCACTGACCACATGTGTGGCTATGGGAGCTGGGTCCACATACTGAAGCCCATACGGGCCCGACACCGACACACCCACTTGGCGGGCATCCCAGCGGTGGGCTACTCCTGCCAGCGGGTCGCCGGCAGTCACTTGTACCTCTCTCTGCTCCATGACGATTTTGTGACGTCGAGGGCTCTCATGGCTGGAAAGACATTTAGATTTACATGAAGGCACGAGTTGAGAGTTGCATAATGTAATAATGAAATTAATTGCAGGTGTGTGTCTTAACATTTTCAAAGACAATATTATTCTATTATTTTAAAAAAAAATACTACCTTACATGGAAATGAAAAAATAAATCACCTATACTTCCCATATTCTTTCACAAAGGTAAGAATGGAGGAGAGTCTTAATTAGGTATAAAGAGAACCTCCTATCTAACTGCATCAAATTTAGCAAAACTCTGGATTAAATGAATGAACAAGTACTCTTTTTACACATTCAATAAAATTACAATTATTGTATTGAACGACTTCTAAAAAAAGAGCAGCTTTTCACCCAATGAAACAGCTTGCCCTACAAAGACCCAAAATAGAAAGAAGCATTTTTGTGCATTTTCCCCTCCAAACAGCTTCCATCATCACACATCAAGTACTGATCCTAAGGGAAAGCCAGGCCAAGCTGCATATATAGCAGTGAGGAGTGCTACAGTTGTGGTTGTCAGATGGGGGGGGGGAGGGGTTAACATCATACTCCACTCCCGTTTTCATTCATTGTGGCGTCGGTGGCCTAGTGGTTAGGTTCTTGGACTCGCAACCGTAAGGTCGTGGGTTCGAATCCTGTCAGGGACTTGATGTTGTGTCCTTGGGAAAGGCACTTTACACGAATTTTCCTCACTTCACCCAGGTGGGCATGGGTACCCAGCTATAGACAGTGAAAGATCTTGTGATTTGTTAGTGTTTGAGCGCTTAATCAGCTGCTTGCACTGTATGCATCCCGGGAAGCTGAGAATGTTTCTGAGCGTTCTATGGTCTGCTGGGGTAATAATATAGTGTAAAGCGCATAGATCCTGCTGTTGAGCGGGGTCATGCGCTATACAAATGCTATCTGTTATTATTATTATTTATGACACATTACCTGTCAGACACATCAAGCCTTTTTTTTGTTGCAACCATTCAGTAACCTTCCTTCACACTGCTATAATACTATCAAACATCAACTTCTTCATCATAGCATTATTTTTCAGACCTCACTTTCACAACTTCATATATAAAGTAACGTGAAACTAAAAGCAGGACCTAGAGAATCCATTGACTGTAAGGATCACGGTATACTTTATAATATATATGACAATTAAACTTTCATACTCAAACACATTAAAGCATAACTTGACCTGTTGGCATAAACTCAGTGTATATATCAATTTACAATAAAATACAGGTGAAATTATCTGATATAGCCACTCATTGTTGAGGAGAAAAGTGGCCATCTTAGACAGGTGGCCATCTTAGACAGGTGGCCATCTTACACAGAGTAATTATCATGTTAAACAAAAAAACACACGTGGGGTGGGTGGGGTGGGGGTGGAATGGGAAATGGCTATTTGTACAGGTGACAGTTTTTAAATACAGATAGCCGTTTAAAAGCCGGTTCGACGGTACTTTGTGTAAGGCATAAAACAAATAACGCCCACAATCTCTATCTCATCAATCTTTCGAACCCTGGACCTTGACATTTCCCAAATTTCCACCCCCGGACAATTTGAATGTGGTTAGCCCCAGGTGCATTGGCCTTACAGGATGCCAAGAAATATACTGCGGGCTGGTTTGCCTGCTTTATGAGTTCAAAGAGTTAAGAACCAAAATATCAAATTGTTACACGATTCTGGGCAAAGATAACATACCTATAGGACTCGCTGCGAGAGGCTGGACGTCTGCGAGACTTCTTCCTGCCACCTTTTGACCTTGCAGAAACGGACTGTGACTGGGTGACTGTTCTTGAATCCGACTCAAATGAATCGTCAGAGTAGTCCCCTCCTGTTTCAGTCTCCTCGTCAGACACAGCCCTACGGTTAGTTTTTCTGGCAACACCGCTCCGTTCAAGCTGTGTACTGTAAACAAGCGAAGCAGGTCAGGACAATACAGACACTTTATATTAGTTCAGTTCAAATAATAAGAAGCACTTTGGCACCAAAAAAGTCATTCAGTGTAGAGAAAAATGTAAAGCCAATTAAGAGGACCAACAGAAGTAAAGAAAAGATGGAGGAAGATCTGCCAGTGGAGCCACTCCGACCACTCGCACAAACACGTCACATTTCCCTCAAGCTGCTCACATGGAAAATAGATGGCTCTAAACTATGCAAAAAGTCCAGAGCTTTCATACTAAGAGTAGAACATTGTGCATTTGAATTTATAAAATGCTCTGAGAACAGACAAAAATTTCATAACTCTATTTCCCTCACTGATGAAAAAACTCTTATGGTTATGAATTCAGAAAAAAAATGTAGAGAAATTTAGGGTGGGGGAAATAGTATGAGAGAAAGACAGCTTCCACACACCTTATACTTCTTTCTGTGCTGAGATGTCTCACAGGCGCCGGCCTTGACCCTGCACCAAGCTCCGTAATTATCTCAGACTCCGAGTCGTAGTTCTTCACAGACTTCAGGCGATCGTCTGATTTCTCTGTCACAATCTCCGATTGGTCAGAGAGGTCGTACTCGCCTGCTTGGTCCTTTCCCCCGTCTGCACCGAGCAACTCGTCCACCATATGAATGCCCAGACTCTCAAACACGCTAGACTTGCTGTCAGACTTTTTCAGCGGTTTCTTCTTTGCCTCCTTCTTGTTGTTCTTGCCGGCCTTGGACAAATTATCTGACGAGGCCTTGAACACCGAGCCGGAGCTGGAGGCTAGAGCCCCACTCTGCTTCTGGCCTTTGCCATGGTGGGATTGTTTCCCTTTGACCTTTTTGTTGCGAGGGGAGACGGGGATGAGGCTTGCCACATCCATCAGATTGACTGTAGGATGAAGAAGAAAACATTTGCTCTAGTTTATGAATGATAGAACAAGGGAACAAGACTAAACAAAAGAAACCACATGCTCGGGGTAATTTCATTATTCACTATATATTTGACATTGGCTACTAACTTCATAGGATCATTCCAAGTACCAGGCAACAGATAAAATAATAGAAATGGACCAAAACAGTACGGTATTGAAAAAAAAGCGGACAAATGCAAAAATAAAAATTTTCTTTGCAGAGTTTGGGTTGTGGCGGTAGTACTACAGTAGTCTCGGTCTAAACGCACGGTGCTTGGGAGGGCTCCTTATCGTGAGTTTATACGGGGCGTGCGTTTACATGAACCTTTGCAAAGGGAGGAAGGAACGCAGTCATCTCATTGCCTTGATATTCTAGTGATCTCCTTTTGGGGTGGGGGTCATCTTGGGCCGATAATGTGACGACACGTGACTGTTTTGAGAAGGATTCCCTGACTGTGATGAAGAATACAGAGGCGTTGAAGAATAAGGGGGGGGGGGGGGGGGGGGGGGGCACAGAAAGACAGACTCAATGTAATGACTATGTGCTATAAAATGTTGGGAACAGATGAGTAAGAGGAAACTATTGGTGACTGTCATAGAGACGACGGCGCAGTCACATGGCTTTCCAAGCGACCACCCCCGACCATATATTCATGGACCAAAACATTCCCCTTCGAAATACAAGAGCGAAAAAAGTAAAAGTAAAATGAGAAACAAAATGTCCTACTGTTGAGCGGATCATCAGAGCTGGCAGAATCGTGTCGGTGACGCTGTGGGCCTTCCATCATCTCACTGGCCATGGAGTCCAACAAATCCGAGTCTTGTGACTGTGACCGTGACAGTTTTCCAAATGGTGACGGACTCCTTTTGAAGGGAGATGGTGACCTTGATCTTTGAACAGGTGAAGGTGTCTGTCGGGGTCCAGGCGACGCTGCTTTCTTTCGCCATTTTTGCTGCTTCTTTGCTACCAGCTGTCAAATTGCACAGAAAAAATAGGAAAATAAGTAAAATGTGATCATTTAAAAGAGAATTTAAACTGAACAGCAGCAATCCTACATCAGAGCATATTTCAGAATTAATAACGACAAAAAACAAACAAACAGAAGAAACTAACCAGGGTCCATATTCAACAAAATCTTTGATATTGGTATGTTCAAGGTCTGTCTCAGAATAAAGTTTCCCTGTCATGCTGTCCTCACATATAATTGTAAATCAGCTTGTATTTGATATCAACAGAAAGCTTATTCAAATACCTATTCAACGTAGGAAAAATGAAGTTCCAGACATTTCTCCATTTGATGTACCCAGCAGTCAAAGACAGTGGTCAGTGATCGTTGGTCCATGGTCCTGAGCGCTTTTCTCAAAGCCTCTTGAATCTCGTCCTCGTCCTCAAATCTCCGACCTTGCATTTCTTTCACTTTGGGGAAGAGGTGGAAGTCCCATGGGGCGAGGTCGTGCGAAAAGGGTGGGTGTTCCAATAATTCCCACGAGTAGCCCTCAAGAAGCTCATTCATAACTCTGGACTTGTGAACAGGCACGATATCATGATGCAGGATGACGCCTTCTTCAAGCAAAGCGAGTCTTTTTTCAGAATTGCAGGTCTCAGCTTGTCTTTTAGGACAAACCTGCTGTAGTATCCATCGACAGTTTGGCCAGGTGGGACTAGCCATATTAGTATGATGCCATTCACGTAGAAAAAAACCCAAAAAAGTGCATCACTTTCCTTTCTCAGTGTTTTCTGCCTCCCATGCGCAGTGTGCGCTTCATCTTTCACGTCAGACCTCCCACGATCAACCTCCCTGATCCTTTTCCTTACTGTTTGAGTTGATGGGGTGCTAATTCCCTATTACTTTGCATAGACCACCATGGGTTTCAACTGCAGACTAGCCGAGAAGAGTTGAACAATTTGATCACAACTCTGACATCGTAGCGTGAGAAGGTTGCATCAATGTTTTGTTGAGCCATCGAATTTGCCTTGGACAAAGTACACAAGTACAACACACTTGACACGTCACAGCTATATGACCTGTTCACCAGTGCACTTTTAATTTGGTGTTGAGATTTCTTCGACATGACGTCATGTCACAAAATTTAGTGGCTGTTGGTTGCGTACTTTTGATTTTATGAAGGAGGGAAACTTTATTATGAGATAGATCTCGTAGCTGCATGAAAGGAAGGGAAATTATCCTGTTGAAGTTAAAATATAAAGGTATGAAACATTAATCAGTGAATATACAACTGATTTTAACAATGAACAAGAAGCTATGATATTTACTTCCACGACCTAGAAGTCAGCCTAAATTCCATAAGTTCGCTGATTGCCCATAGGTCTAAGACGTCAAACTGGAAATTACAATATAAAAATATTCCAATCAAGAAGGACACCACACTAGAACAAAGTCCTTCTTTATTCTGAGTTAACAGACAATGGTTTAGAGTGAACTCTCAAATAAAAGTGCATTAACATTATTAACAAACAGACCCGTACAGCAAAGCAATCAATTAATCTTCACATCTACATATTGCTAACCAAATGAGTAAAAAGAAAAGTGAACTTGGGTGAAAGGGCAAAAAACAAAACAAGGTAAACGTGCTCACATTCTGAGGTCTTCTGGCAGATGACTCTGAGGCAGATAGGCCATGGATGAATTCTGCCAGGCTCTCCTCTTCTGAAGTGAGGTATACATTTCCCAAGGTCCGAACTATCTCCCCTCTAGCTTTGCTACCTGTAAAAACAAAATATAGTCTTGATGCAAATAGGAGAATTAAATCTCAACTGAGGTCAAAGTCACAAAGTACCACTGTATTACATGGTCATGAAAGAAACTAAAAATTGCTTGTAAGGACTAAACAGTATGAGTTCACTGGAAAAAAAAGGAAAGAGCAAATCATACTTATACCACTGTGCCTACCTTCCGCCAGCTTTGCATTTTGAGATATTTTTTTCGAGTTCAACACCAGAACGATCAAATTAAAATAGGAAGAAAGAAGTCTCTGCCTAAGAGCTGGTTCATCTAATGATAGCCCACTTTTACTGAGTGACAGATATTTTTTCCTTTAATTGCCATGCTTAAGAACCCGTTCTAAACATAGAAACCCATCAAAGCTAGAGAAATAAACTTTTCTGAGCTGCCTTACCCCACCTTGCATATATGCAAAGAGGCACTCACCAAGGCTGGACCAATACATGAACTTTACTGATAGGTTCAATATAACACAGTTGGAGTGAGTAGAGGAGGGAAAGAGTGGGCACTCTTACACCCTGCCTCCATGTGTTTCTGCAAAGCAGGTCATTTGGGGGGGGGGGTTAATAACTTTCTCCTGTCATACAGTGAAATTGTCTGATTGTCTCATGAAAGTTGGATAATTCACAGTCATTCTTTCCCTTTTTTTGGTCTCCTAATGATCAGGTTCCAAGACTGCGACTTATGTATATATAGAAATAACACAGAGATGAAAAAAGTGCAGGACAATTATTGGATATCATATAAAAAAAGACCTAATTAAGATCTCCGAGACAATAAAGTATTTTCTTATCTTATTTTGTCTTACTTCGCCTGTGAGTCTTTTTCTTCTGGTCTGCTGAAGAGCTTCTCTGCACCAGCTGAGGGCTTGGAGTTCCCCGTTCCGGTACCTCCTCGTCCAAAGTCTTGCGCCCTTTGAGAAATTTTCGCCCGTCCCTCCCAATGCTGGTGTCTGCTGAACCAGGCCTCCTGCCAATTTCGCTCTCTGAGTCGCTATCCCGAGAGACATGACGACGTAAAGGAAATCCATCCGCCCTGCGACCCTGGATCTTATTTGTCAGAGCATTGGCTTTGTTCAATGCAGAAGACTTCTCCGGTCTGGAAGGGGATGCTGAGGAATTGAAGACTCTACTGTGAGTTAAATATGATTAATATTCTGATATGTCTAAACATTAGAGGAAACCTTATATACAGAAATTCACTGGTAGCGAATTATCAGCAAAATTCAGAATCTCCTGTTATAATGAAACAACTGAGAATATTGACTAAAACACAAGATTTTCTTTCTCTTGACTCCACATTTAGTTAAATCTCTGGTACAGAAATCAAATCTAAAAAGATACAACTTCAGCAACAGCATGCAGGCACTTGAGTAGATTTTCAACGAACATATAATATGTTCCAAAAATCCAAACAAAATTTCTGTTTTAGCAGGTTACGAAATGAAAAAAAAAATTAATGCCATGCCATGCAGGTAACCAAAACCCACAGCCTTGAACATGATACAGGACCATTTTATTAAATAAAGATGTATATATTCTGTAAACATCATCAGAACATATGAATATATGTACACATAATGTAATCAGTCAGGAGGAAACAAAAGTCCATAATGTGTTCGTAGAACAGTCACAAGATCATTTTCTTCTATCAATATACACATTCACAATAACTAACCTTCAGCTTTCTTCTTGCCAGCAATCACAATCTGCCCTCCTCTGTAATCACGATCATCTTCATCCTCATCATCGTCCACAACTCTCGCTGCCTTTGGGCCAGTCACTGAAGCGGCAGGGCCTGCTGCCCCTTGTGGAGTCTTCTTCTTCAAGAACTTGCTGGAGGCCGGGGCTGGGGCCGGGCTGGCAGAGCGCCGACCACGTGGTGTGATTGCTTGCATGCCATCTTTCCCGCTCGAGATGGAGATATCCCCAAAGTCTTCAAAATTTGCACTAGGAACGTGTTGGGTCTTTTGTGTCAAGCTGTTGAGGTAACCCTGTAGATAAAAATAGAATGTCTCATCTCAACTAGTTTAATACTTTCGATAAAATAAAGCATGTAAACTGTTCGTATGTTTCTATTTTGGTTTACATTTCATACTATGATGTTCTCCACAAATGATATTTTCATTACAGCCTGTGAGAAAAAAGTTTTTAATCTCTCAAACAATTGGGAGATGTTCATCATCATAGCCTTTCTCAACCAGGTATATCAGGATACAGGCCATGAACAAACACTTACTGTTCCCTATCCTGGGCTAGTCGCTTGATGTTACTCCATGTCTTCCCACTTCTCTGTTCATCCATTTCTGTACTGTGACTATTTTTCAGGTTCCATGTGATCTTCCCCTTGAACTTTTACCCTGTGGGTTCCAATCTAACACTTTCCTTGTTATGCGCTGCTTGACTTCCTGAGGGCGAGTCCAATCCATCGCTAACACCTTCTTCACAGATTTTTAATACTTCCTCGTTAGTGACCCTGTCTGTCCATCTGATCCTCAGTAACTTCCTTAGACACTTGTTCAAGAAAACCTGGATCCACTCAAGTCTGATTTGTGTTCCATGTCTCTCATTCATACAGAAAGACTGACATCACATTTGATTTGAAAATCCTCAGCTTTGTTCGTATTGAGATATCCCTGGTCCTCCAAATCCTATTCAAAGATAAATGCAGTCTGAACCTTTCCAATGTAGGACTTTATTTCAACGTCTGTTCCTCCCTCTCTGTCAATTATACTCCCAAGATAGCAGAAGGATTCAACATCTTCTAATGCATGTCCCTCTATTGTGACCTGCTCCTTTCGTAGTGCATCTATCCTTAGGTTTTTTACTTTCTGGGGTAAATCCTTAACCCAACAGACTCTGATAGTAGTGGTAGGCTGTTTAAAATTGTGGTCTTTGCTTGAATCTGTTTCTGGGTGTGTGACAGAAGCTCCAAGTCATCTGCAAAGTCCATATCGTCCAACTGTGTCCATGGGGTCCACTGTACATCGTTTCTGTGTCCTCTGGTGGTTTCCTTCATCAGGCAGTCGATTGCCAAGATAAAGAGGAAAGGTGATGGTAAATGTTACGATCCTAATATTTTATTCTATTTCTGGAAAAAGATCTCTCTGAAAGATCAATACATAACTATAGTATAACATAAGTTAACCTAAGGGCGGTGTACATATATAGCTTCCAGTTTTGCCTACTTACGGCAAGTTCATCCTCTTCTTTAGTCTTTAAGGGCACACGTTCACCCCGGAGTTGACTGTTCACTTTCTGGAGCAAAGCAGAGGCACTGCTCCTTCCAGTGGGCATATTTGCTTTCTGTGGATATACACAACAGTTACTTACAACATCTTTTGTATTTCGTGTCTCTTTTTAAAAATTGTAACAGTAAGTACTATCAAATCAATGACAAAACATGTATACTGTGTTTACCATAAAAAGGGAAACTCACATTAATTAACTTTGTAATACTAGCGATCAAAGACCTTTAACTCTTTATCTCTGGCAAGCCGCTCTTGGCGGCTCGCGGTCGAAATCACTGTGCTTGTGAGCCACTGGCAGCGGCTGAGGCACATTCCTTTACGATGACTTCGACATCAAATTACTTTTTGGCAATTGCCGAAAACAGGTCTCTTTTATCGGGATTCCATTTATTAGATGAAGAACTATCAAAACAGTTTCACTTGTTTTGATCTAATGACCAATTTAGTGACGTTTTTGTCATTTTTAGATTTAGTACCAAAAAAGGATGAGGGTGCGGTGGCGGAGCAGTTAGTGCGCTCGTCTCTGAAGCAGAAAGTCCGGGTCCAAGCCTCGGTTCGGACACAGATTTTTTCGCCCCCTCCTGCCCACCCAGCAGTAATGGGTACCTGACTTCTAGTTGGGGAAGTAAAGGCGGCGGGGAAAGAAATTGGCCACCCTACCACAATATGCCAAAGGCCCAGGAAGTTGTCTCACTAACAAGGCAATCCCCAATGTCCGGATCGAATGCGGGAACAACTTTACTTTTTACAAAAAAAGGGGACATGCATAGTGGGTTTACCCCCCTCGGAGAGTTAATTATGGTCAGAAGAAGGTACGCCAAGTTTTTGATGCTTGTATTAGCTCCCCAAGGCTGTCCAGGAGAAAAGGTCTCTTCCCTTATATATCTTCTGTGTATACCTTTTCATTCTTCACTTTCATTTTTTTCCCCTTTATTCTTTTTCTTTTTTTTTTCTAGCCTCTTCTTTCCCCTTCTTCTTGAACATTTGGAGTTCGGAGTCAAAAAATAGCCGGAGAGCCAAAAGAAATTCTCCGGGCCAGACGCGATCCAAAAGAGACAAATTTCAGGGATTTGGCTCCAAACTGACAATCCTGACTGTGACTATTCGGACATGAACACGATCATGTGGAGCATCATCCTCGGAACCCCCCACCCCAAGGTAATTCTGGTAATCTCAGCACTGATCCCTTTAGGGTCATTTATGGTAAAATGAGGGGGTGAGAATAGCGACACATGGATGGGTTATTCTCAACCCCAAACGAAAGTGAAAGGACTACGGCAACTTCAAGATAATGAATGCTTTGTATTACTATCTAAAAAATTTGAATTCAAAGTCAATCTAGATCTAGATCTAGCTCAGAACTAGCCTGTGGTCTGTTTTCAGTAAATAACACTAACGCAAAACTCAACTGGCACTCTGTGGCTGTCTAACTTTACATTTAGATCTAGATCTAGTTTTAGCTTCCTCCTATGACACAAGACAGACCTTGTAGAATGTTTTCAAATTATTATTTTTTGGCCGGATTGTACTTTACCGGACAACCTGCCTCGGCCTGTGATTGAGGGTGGTGGTTGAGAGTGGGTAGGGGATTTAACTTCAATGGTAAACCACTGTGTATCATACCAACAGTGGGGGGGCTTGCCCCCCTGGAACCAATAGTACAGAAAACACACACACATGCAAAACAACATGTGCGGACAATCTTGTTTACATATTATCAATGTAACAACAGTGGGGGGTTTCAGGGGGAGCCCCCTGACAACAATGATTTTAAAAACACACACACATATAAACAATAACATGAGCGGACCATGGGGCTAAGTAGACAATCGGGGTAGATCTGTTGGAACAGGCCGAGCCTTGCTTCGCAGCACTCGCCAAGTTGCGAGTAGGGCCAAGGGGGTTGCAATTATGCAAATGAGCTCTCATGCACATCTCTCGCCCTCCATTGTACTTTGCCGGACCAGGAGTAGGCCTAGCAGAGTCGCCAGCAAAATAAGAATCAGAATAGCCTTCAATAATGGACCACGTAATTAGATTTACCAATTAGCCACAGATGTCAGGGTCGTGGGTCAAAGGGCACGGTGGCATGGTCATGATGACTGAAAAACCCGGTAAGAGACGTCAGTTGGTTGTTGGCAGTCGAAGGAAGAGGATGTTGTAAAAACTGAGTAGGAGAGTGAGTAGGGGAGCTCGGAAAGGAAGAATAGTCAATAGCAGGCCACTACTCACTATCACCAGGGGCGCATAGCGAAAGTAGTTCCGACCGGTGGTCCGGTTAAAGTACAGTCTTACCTTTTTTTAAATTAATAAGGAGAAGCAATAAAAATTAAGCAGATTCACGTATACTTTAACATTGACGAAAGCTCAACAAGACCCAGCAAGTTGACTCGGTTGAGCAAAAGTAAAAGAAAGCTGAGACTCAGAAGAGTCTTCTATCATTCACGATCACGGGCCAACGTCCATCCTACGAATTTCATTCTAACCACAAGTGCACCGGTGCTCTAGGGAAATATTAGACACACACCTAAGTTATTTTGGTTTCTACATCTGGCTTTCAACTTTTAGAAACTTTTGGATGTCATGCTTCTTCCTGCAAGTGATGCAGACAGCGAGCTCAGAGAGGCACAAATTTCATTGTTTTGCTTAGCAGCAGCGATATGGTGAAATCAATTTAGGTCAAAGGGATAATATTTAGCTACAGCAATCACACTAGCAAAAGAATAGTTTTTACAAAAGATGACTTAGGCCCCACGTTTACGAAATAGATAATTTAAGGCTAGGCCTAAATTAATTTTATTTGCAGTTTCATAAGAGGCCGGAGACGAGAAATGGCGAATGTAAGTAGATCGAGCGAGAAAAAGAATATTTATAGCCTCACAAGTGAAGAGGGAGCCTAAACCAGCCAGGACAGTGAAAATAGAAACACACACACATACACACACACACACACACACACACACTCACTCACTCACTCACACACACACACACACACACACACACACACACACACACACACACACACAGAGAGAGAGAGAGAGAGAGAGAGAGAGAGAGAGAGAGAGAAACAAACAGACCAAGACAGAGAGACACACACACAGAGGAGAAAGGGGAGAGAGAGGGGAGAGATCGAGAGAGTATTCTCAGAGGATAGAGGGGAGAGAGGGGGGAGAGAAGAGAGATAAAGAGAGAGAGAGAGAAAGAGAGAGAGAGAGAGAGAGAGAGAGAGAGAGAGAGAGGGGGGGGGGTGGTTTACATAAATACTTACAAAGAAGACTAGTCTATGATCGAATAACCGCGTATAAGGACGCGATCGACTCCCAGGAATTCCTGTGGACGCACAGGTAGACGCAGAGTTATTAATCTCCCTTTAAAACTAATATTATAAGTGTAAATTTATGAGTAGATCTCAACAAGACTTCTAGATCTAGATCTATATCACTCTTTGGTCTATATATCCAGTTCGGATGTAATCACATTTTTAACCTCCTTTAACTTTAAACGAAAACCCACAATTTTGAGAGAAAAAATTGCAAAAAAACAACAACAACCCCACCCCTCCCAAGGAATATTTGGTCAAAATAACAATACTACTACTACTACTACTACTACTACTACTACTACTACTACTACTACTACTACAACTACTACTACTACTACTACTACTAATAATAATAATAATAAATAGCATTTGTATAGCGCATGTCCCCACTCGAAAGCAAGCTCCATAAAAAATAATATATATGCGCTTTACACTCACAGTGTTTACACTTTATATTATTATTACCCCAGCAGACCACAGAACACTCAGAAACATTCTCAAATAATGATTGCAAATCCTGAAAAAGCAAGAAAAGATAGTCTACATTTTAACGTACGCTAGATGCAATATTTCAGAAAACGAAACATTTTTTTTCTCAACTGCACTGTAGCCTAGATCTATAATTATTGCTTTGTGGGCTGAGAACGTATTATTGTGTGAATAGAATAGCTTGCCGACCCGACGAATAAGGTCTTTTGATTCCCTTAGAATCGAGTCTGTGGCTATTGGGACTCGATTTCGCTAGACTAAGCAGGCCTGTCACTGGAATTTTTTCGGTCTTCGCCGGCGAAGCGGGCCGGGCCTAAACCGACACACCTAAACTTTGGTGTTTGAATGTTTTGGTAAGCACGTCATTTTTAAAAAAAATCGTCAAGAGTTTGTTGACCGTTGCCATGCTTCTTATGGTATTGATGATATATTGACAGAATTAATCCATACAGGGATAATTGACTTTTCGTTTTGTTTAAAGTTTCGCAAGGCAAAGGGGATAGGACTGGGACTGGGACTGGGACTGGGACAGACTGTTCTCACTGTGACTGTGTCTTGCTTGGTGGATTTCACTTTTCAGCCAGCGAAAATGGGGGTAAACGTCTAGATTTAGATATAGATATCTAGATCTAGATATCTAGATCTAGATCTAGGTCTCGATTTAGATAATTAATAAGATTATGGTTTTTCCCCGCTTTGTCAAGTTCATAAGCCTCGACACACACGGAATCCTATTCTCACAGATGAGTAAACAAAAGAGCCGGAGGCTAAAGGGTCACAGGTCAAGTTTTTTTCAGGTAGCCCAAGGCCAACTGCCCATCTGTGGGTGACTCATCATGCTCTCTTGACTAAGCAGTCAGTTCTGGTTGCATTAGACAGATCTAGATCTAGACTCTAGTTAGGTCTACTAATAATAATTGGTAAGTAAGTTGTTGAGAGTGTACAGCCTAACTAGGGCCTAGACCATGAATTGTTTGGTTAGAAATCTCTATGTTTCGTTTCTGTCTTGTGGTCTCAGGAATTCTTAAGGCCACCTCCGGGTGAGAATAGTGCAGGCGGGTCTTGTGGCTATTCTCACCCGGTGCGCGTGTCAACAAATTTTGCATTCACCCTAAACCACAGAATTCTACACTGTGATAAGAGAAAAATTGTAGAATTCTGTGCTGTGAACAAACGTTCCATTACAACTGTACTTGTAGCCTACTAAAAGCGTACAATTTTGTCTGTGGGCAGTGGAGAGAGAGAGAGAGAGAGTGAGAGAGAGAAAGAGAGAGAACAAAACAAAATGGCGACCCGCGTAGTTCGGCTCGATTCGAAAAGTTAAATAGCCGTAGCATCTTTGTAGACAACCAAATTAATTTACTTTTGTGTTTTAACATCATTTTTTAACTTTGTTTTGGTCAATTTGATCGTCCACACCGATAGACAGTATTCAGAAAGAAACAGAGAGAGAGAGAAGAGGGGAGGAGTGGATCTTGCGAGAACTTCCGGGCGGGTGAGAATAGCCACTTTCAATTCTTAATTAATTTTTTTTAAAATGTAGATCTAGATCTAGATCTAGACTATTTGTAGATCTAGAATTTAGAACTAGATCTATTAATAAAACCTTAATTTTAATATTATTTGTCAATTTGTAATGGAAAAAAAACCTATTGGTCATACGAAAATGGGAAAATACTCGAAAAGACAGAAAAAGATGTCATCTACGTATCTCGATCTATAGTACCAAGCCTTCTTGGACAAGGGCGAAAAAGTTTGGAGGTCCCTTACATGTGCAAGTTGCGCACGTTAAAGCTAAACAAATTATAAGATTATTATGCTTCGGCCGCCACCCGGGCAAAATTCAAAATTTACAACCAACTGAAAATATTTAATGTGTCTCGTGCGCTCATATTACCTTATGCTGTTGCGAGCGCAGTAAAACCGTTACCCAAAAAAAAAAGAATTCATGTGGTGAGAGTTGCATTGCAAAAATCCACATTAAAAAAGACGCGTTTAACAATGTAATCTTCCACTTGTCACACGTGGTACCCAGCGCCATAAAGTAAGGAAAGTCCTGTCACAGTAATTAATATAACATTTTATTATAATTAATTGTATTTTACTAATAATAATTGTAATTCGACACGAAAGAAATTGAAACATCAAAAGGTCGCTTTGGGAAAGGCACTTTGCACGAATTTTCCTCACTTCACCCAGGTGGAAATGGGTACCTGGCCATAGACAGCGAAAGATCTTTTCAATATGTTAGAAAGTGTTTTAGCATAGACTATAAATGGCTGCTTGCCCTGTATGCTTCCCAGGAATTTGAGTTTGTTTCAGAATGCTCTCAGGTCTGCTGGGGTAATAGTATAGATTGTGAAGGGCATAGAGCTTGCTGTTGAGCGGGGATTTGCGCTATACAAATGCTGTCCATTACTATTAAGATATATTAAGATATATTTGTAATTGAAAGTGAGGGTTGCCTCTGCTATGTCATAGAAAAAAAAATCTGTGTATATGAAAATGGCTGCCAAAATTTGGTTGTTTCCAAAGCTTGTGTTCCCTTGGAAACAACAAATTTCCATTTTATTGTGCCTTTGATCAATGTTTTTCCGTAGTAACCACACAGAAATGTTTTTGAATTGTACTTATTCACTAATAATGAAAAGATGTTGAGCCCCCCACTCCGCACCCCAATCTGCCCCCCCCCCCCCCAATCTCTGAAAATTGCCCAAGGGGTGGGAAAATGTATGTTTCTGCCGTTCACTATTTTAGAAGTGTGCCTGATTTCACAATTAAGCGCACATATTGTATAATAAGCCTTCAGGAATTTCTTAAATCTGTTGCTCTTTTTTGTTCTTACAAACGCTCTTCTTATTGTACAGTGCTCAAGTGTCTTGAAATGTCTTTATACATTTAAGAAGTATCCTTTCTACCCTCAGACTGGAAATCCAATTATTTACATTTCTTCAGTATCAGTCACGATGTCACGGCTAAATCGAGGTAGAGGAGGACGGGGTCGTGGTGCATTCGGAGGGTTCTCAGCGGAGTCTGACCACCCTTCAAACAGTGTCCACCCTTCCATGCTGAAACAGGCTCGTCGCTCCGGAGTGTTGAACCTGAGCCAGCGAGGTCTGGAGAGTGTGCCGGACGCAGTGTGGACAGTGCAGGAAGACGTGCCCGAGGAAGCCAAGTCTATATCCCTTGACAACACCGATGACAAGTGGTGGGAAACTGTAGACCTCACCAAGCTCATTCTTGCTTCGAATCGTTTGTCCTCCATTGGAGAGGGGTTGAGGAACCTTGGTGCGCTTACTGTGTTGGATGTAAGTCATGAAGGTCCGTTTTTCTTGTAACCATCACCATCAGGTTCCATACCAATTGGTTTTGGTTGCTGTGAACCCATACTGTAATGAGATGATAACTGCTATCTAATCCTAGATTCTACTCGTTAGTCTATTTACGTTGGTTTCAATACTCACTGTTTCGTGCGGGGAAAGATGAGTGGGGGTCGTACAGGTCCGGAGCTCCATCCACTGTGTCGACCCACCAGTAGCGTCGATCCCTGCTCAGACTAGGTTTTAGTCGTGGCTCGGAAGGCCAGTTTAACCTTCGCCGTCTGTTTATATACCCCTCGTGCTCCCTTATTCTCCTACACTCACTAGACTACACTGAGTTTGTTCACTTATTTCACGTGATCCTGGCTTGTCTGGTGATCACAGCGAATTATAAACCACACATACTTTTTTGGATTAAAGTGTCAACCCCCTCCTGTTCTTGAATTTATAAGTTAAAACCATCACATATGTGCATGATATTGATATCATGACGATCCAAATGTGGCCCACTTGAGAATGCAGACCCCGGATATGTGAAGTAAGTCTCAGAGTTCTGAATGAGGGGTTCAAGCTTACTCTTACCGCTAACATAAATAGTTTTGTTGGTGCAAGACTGCCAAGTCTTTCAATATGTTTGCTGTCTCAGTCTGCATGTGTTAATTTTGACACATAGTTTTTGTCATAACCTGATGTCGTCTTCATTTCCATCTTATAACAAGGCCATTGAAAATGATTTTATAGGCTCACACTTGTCAAGAGCAAGTCAACTTTTATAATAATATATTGAATTTATAATAGTTATTAGACTAGTTGAAAATAATTATGTTTGAGTTTGAGCACAGTGAAGGCATTATGGTATTGATTTGATCCTTGGGCATTTGCTGAAACAGTGACTGTTTTTCTGAGATGCAAACATTAACAGTAATCTGCGAATTAAACTTTTATCTCTGATTTGCATATGTTATCATGAATTTTGATCGTAAATGTAAGGTAACATGTACTGGATTAGCTTTCATGTTTTTTGTTTTTGTAAACATGTAGGCTTACAGAGTAACTTTGAACTTCTTTTTTGGCAGTATAGATGCATTTTGTGGTAACTGTATCCATAATGTACTACTCAAGCTCTTGAAGTTTTGAACTAAAGTTACAGAAATGTTTTCCATTTATATTATTATTTCAAGTGTCTGGACTAATTCCCTTCCTGTCCCCTCAGGTCCATGACAATCAACTGACAAGTTTACCAAAAGCCATCAGTGCCCTGGAAAATCTTCAAAAGTTAGACATCAGGTTTGTATTTTCATGTTAACTGAGATTAATTGTCTGATCATTTATAATTATCAAATTGACAGCAGACTTAATCTAATGCACAAATGAAAAAGGAAAAGTGGAGAACAACCATATGTCACGTTTAGCGGTTCACTAGTGGCTTTTTTATTTTGACTGCAGTATGTTTAAATAAATTTATTTTTATAGCTTTTTAAAAATAGTTTTAGTTTGAATACATCAGCAGTTCATTGTTTCAGAATTAATGGAGAGGAAGATAGAAGGCCAAAAAATGAATAAAAAGAATGAAATTAATGGGAGATATCATATTTTATAAAGGAAAGACCACTTTCAGATAGTTAGTATTAATGAATTCTCAGGGAATATTGCTTTGTCCCTTGTTAGTGTTAGATCCTGTGACAGTAATGGTAAAAATAAGATGCTGACGTATGTATATTCACTGAGTAATCAAGTTTGCTAATGAGGCTTTTCTATTGTGGGCATTTAAGGAACAACATGATATTCAGCTATTCCTTTGAGAATCTTTGACAGTGCCATGTTTCGTGATGTTAAGGTGTCTTTTCCTCCATCAGGCTTTGCATTTTTTGTGCTGATGAAGTAGAATAACTGTTTTCATGTCCGTGTCTGTGCAGTCACAATCGGTTGAGTGATATCCCACTACATGTTGGCCTGCTCCAAAACCTGGTCACTTTACAAGCCGATCACAACCAACTGACCTCTCTCTGTGAGGAAGTCTGCAGTCTCAAGCAACTGGAAAAACTTGTGAGTTTTTAAGTATTTTGTCATGGCTGTAAAGCATTCTTTTTTACATGGTTCCCTCTGTGCTCTTTGTCATGCAATTATTGTTCTGATTTATAGGATATCTAGATGGTAAAGTTACTCAACAGATCTTAGAAAAGAAAATTAATCTGTCTCCCCCCGGGGCAGTGCCACTGACTGAAGTGTCTTTAGGCCATTCCCAAAGGGGGGACATATCTCGTTCAAGCATAGTAGAATTGTAAATGGGCTGATTCATGTCACGCTCATAACTGTGCCTGATCCACAACAGGGAACTGCTGCTTTTTCTTTCCTGATCCTAACTATTGTCATTTCTCTCTACTTCTTTTGTATGTTTGTCACTCCCTTGTGACCTGCTATTTTGGGGTGCCTTGATAGTCGAAGCAGACCTTGTGTTGTTGAAGTTAGAGAGGTGAGCAGTCTAAGTCTGATTCCCTGTAAAGACTTCTTTGTTGACACCCACCCCTTGGCGCTCATATGACCTTATGCAGTTGCGAACGCCGTAAAACCCTCTACTATAAAAAAAATAATAATCTGTGGTTTCAGCAAGCAAATTTCATGACTTTCTGAATTCAGATGCTAACAGGAGTGCTCTGTATCTGAGGCAAACTTTTGCATTTTATTGGACACCTTCCTGTTGCCAGTTTGTTTTGGATAACTTTGTAACTTTGTTATTCTGTCAGGACGTCTCAAACAACCAAATTGATTCCGTGCCCCGATACATTTGTCTGCTGTGTCGGCTGAGATTTTTCAATGTCTCTAACAACAAGTTGACCCACCTACCCCCTGATATCGGATCCCTCAATGGTAAGCAGTGTCTGTCTTATTATCCAATCAGCATAGCAGAATAATGATTCTGAAAAAAATCCTTCGGCTTTTACTATTAAAATCAAGAGTTCTTTGTATGTATACCCTCCACTATAACAGGTAAAAGGGCTCAAACTTGAGACTCTTAAATTTCTTTTACTCGTTCTTTTTGGCATGCCATGCTGGGCTCCTGAGAAAATTTCCTAGTGTCCCCTTTCGTTCTTTTTGGGTTAAACTGTTTCTGACCACTTGTGTTGTTCACGCATAAGCACAACTATGACCAGTACTGGATATGTCTTCTTCTATAAAGACTGGTGAAGCAATAGTGTTTCTCCACAAGAATTGTTTTCATATTTTTCCAGTGTGCTCAACTGCATTTATGTAGAGGTTTAAATCTCTTGACACATTTAGCCCCACTATTTCTTTTTTGTTTCTATTGGCGTTGCTTTTCCCCATAGCTAAATGACTAAATGACTGTTCTTTTGTTATGTTTGTCTTTATTCAAACTCAAACTTGTTTTTTTTTTCCTTTTAAATTCCAGCTCTAGTTTTGTTTGATGCCACCCACAACCAACTGATGAACCTACCGGAGGAGTTTGGCCATCTGCCTAACCTGGAGCAGCTTCACCTTCGACATAACAAGCTGGAATACCTGCCTGTCCTCAGGCACTGCACTAAGCTAAAGGTCAGAGTTTTGTTCAGCAGACTGTTCATTTGTCACATTGTGTACCGAAAATGAGTTGCTGTATAAGTTTTTGACTCAGCAGTTCGAGTGCTTTCAGTCTTCTCCCAACTTGCTCCAGGTATCTAACAGAAATACTTGTAAGATGAATATCTGTAATTCTCTCACTACAGAAGGGTCAGGTGCTCTACTCTTTAACCTCTTCGCTGCCGCACCCGTAGAATGTACGGGCCTGAACCCTGTAGCGCTGTGCCTGAACCGTGTAGCGCTCTGCCTTTGCCCCGTAGAATTTACGGGAGTGTAACGGACGTTGTTTTGATACCAATTACAAGAGGTTACTGTTAAAATCCTGTAATTATTATTGAGGTACCTTCCCTTTATGTTTACCATCATTTCCCCCCCCACCATTTGAAAGCGTCAGATTCAGATTTTAGCTCAAAGAGAAGATTGGATCTAGATCTAGATCTAACACATCTACCACACAAAAATGATTTATTTGCAGTAAACACAGATGGGCTTTCATACGTATATATATGGATTGTACGAGCGTAATTGTGTAAGGCATGAATCACTTCCTCTTTATCTGCAGACACTCGCACATGTATTCCCCTTTTTTTTGGTCTCAGTTTACCATTACTCAATGTGTGTTGTTTTGTGGTATTGTTTTTGGCATCATGTTAATTACTCCAACTTTTCTCTATCTATCTCTAAATGAAATCCCCCTAAAATTATATAAATATAAGCATGGTTCAATGTAGAATGTACATATAAAAATTCATGAAGAAATATTCGTAAATTAAAAAGTTATGGGAGGTAGAGTGGGGGTCACCCCTGAGCTGCCTGGGTTCATGGGATTTCCCCCGACACAGGGGCCTAGGGGCCTATTTCCCTGCGACAGTGCGAAAAAAACTGTTCATTTCACGAACAAAGAAAAGCCTGATTTCTCGTATATTTTTCCCTTTGTGTTGTATGTAGGGGAGAAAGACATAGAAACATCCCAGCCTTGCTCATCGTATAAGAACAACATTGTTTTACGCCATTTCTAAAATATTATTAGATCATGTACTGCACTGATTTTTTCAACATTTTCATGCTCAACCAAAACAATGCTGAAAAACTTTTCTTTCTTTTTTTGGAAGGGGGGGGGGGGGGGGGTAAGTGTTTTACGGCACTTGCAACTGTATAAGGTCATATGAGCGTGGGGGATACATTAAACTATTTCAGTTGGTAAGGAGATTTTGAATTTTGCTCGGGTGGCGGCCGAAGCCTACTCTTATGGATTTTAGACCCCAAAGGAATCTTTAACGTGCGCAACTTGCACATGGGCCCTCCGAGATTTTTCGCCCTTGTCTGAGAAGGCTAGGTGTAGATCTATCCTACCAGAAGATCAGGGGTTTGGCTGAAAGACAGCAGTAAGAAGGAGCCAAGGAGTAGCAGCAGAAAGGCTGCAGAAAGAGTCAGGAGCCCAGAGGAGTTGGCAAAGGAGGTGAGGGGGTTAAGGCCGAAAGAGGAGACAAAAGAAACGCCAGAACATTGCTGGAGAGCAGGACAGGAGGTGAAAGGAGACAATTTTAGATAAGGAAGTTTTTCGGTCTCTACCCAGATTCGAACCCGGGACCTTTAAATGAGAGGCCAACACCTTAACCTCTAGATCATGAGAGTCCCCCTGAAAAACTTTGCCCCACGAGATATAAAGTAATAGCCTAAACTTAATTGACTTTACCAAAGCCATATCAGTAAACTGAACAAAATTTGCTCGAAAGCCCTGTACATTGAAAGTAGGGCTAAGAGTAGCTTTTTGTAAATGTTGCCGTCGCCAGCACAGTTATGTCAATGAGCATGTCCTCAGTGATTCTCCTCCTGTCTCTTCAGGAGCTTTTGGTGGGTAACAACAACATCAGGGGCCTGAGCCCTGAGCACCTGCAACATCTGAGCTCCGTCACAATCCTGGAAGTGAGAGACAACAAACTGGAGAAGCTTCCAGACGAGATCACGCTGATGGAGAGGCTGGAGAGACTTGACCTCACCAACAACGACATCAGCACGTGAGCCATGTTCTCTTCTCATGTTGAAGCATGTCTACTCTATCATCCACTTTCTTAATGATATAGATTGTGTTGATAGGGGCGTGAAACACCTGCAGTTTCTTTTTCTATTTTTCCAGTCTTATTTGTATACCAAAGTGTTCCACTAATGTCGTAAAACAAATTCCCTAACTGTCTAACAGTCCATTTTTACAAGTCAAAGAAGTTTGATTAGCATAGTAATGGCAGTAGAATGTTTGAGAGAAAGTTAGAGGAAGGGCACAAACATCGAGGAGGTATGTTATTTGAAAGAAATAGGACCTAGAACTGCTATTGATTTTCTCCAGCCACCCACACTTATACATAGAGTCAGTTTTTTGTAAAAGTAGTTGGTTCTGAATGAACTTGGCTTGAAAAGTGGTCTTTTAATGCCATTGACTTCTCTTTGAGTTTGCTTTTCACTTCTTTGCTTTTTGTTTTTTGGGACTAGTTGGTGTGGTTAATTACAAATGTGACTGACTTGCAGAAAGTTGAGGCTTTCACTGAAGAGGGATCATTATTTCGCTCTTGTACCCATCTCTTAGTTTTCTGATTGAAATTTTTTTTTAAAGTTGGAGAATTCTGCTTACGCAGCGACCACTTTATTGTCTTGAATAGTTTTTAACAAAACAAAGTAAAACAAAACAACTGATCAAAATAAATATTTTCACCAGGTTGCCATACGTTTTGGGCACAATGGTACCCCTTAAATCTGTTGTCCTTGATGGTAACCCATTACGCTCTGTCAGGAGGGACATCGTTATGGTGAGGTTAACATTTTTGCATTCTCGTAGTCAGGTAGATTGAGTGTAACATTTTTGCTTTAGAAAATAGATTTTTCTTTTTGCTGCTCCTTTCATTTATCAAATTCTGTTTGTAGTTGGTAAAGATTTGTCTTTGATATACTGGTTAGCCCAGTAGTTTAGGTAATAGTCGATACAATAAGCATGGTCTTATACAGACTCTTGTCAGGTCACATTTTAGAAGTGCAGGTTTATTACTTTTCCATGCTACAGTTTAAGATTTGACAAAGATGTCAGTCTGCTATAGCTATGATCAACACATTGTTGTCTGGACAAGTTCTCACTGAAGCATCTAAGATTTATATATTTGTCTTTTTTTTCCTTCTTTTTATTTTAATGATTTGGTAACGTTGTGAGATCTACAGCTGTTCTTACTTTAAGTTGAAGTTGTTGTTTTTAAAGTGCTCCATTTCCTTTTGAGGCTTTTGATGCTACTTATTTTATGAAGCTGATTTTCTCTCTTGAACTTACTTTAAGTTTTTGCATTTTGGGTGCGGAAGTTTCTGATGATGATAGGGGTTTGAGTCTTGTAGTTTTCTTTCTTTTAGGTGATTTTTTTTTTTTGCCATTGTGTCTGATCTGTGATCTAGAGGGGTACACAAGAGCTTAAAAAGTACCTGGCGAGTCGACTGAGTGATGAAGAGAGAGACAAGCAAACAGCCGATCAAGTGTCAAGTACGAATGTAGCGCTTCCTGGGGCACAGGATCAGCCTCTCAGAGCCCATGACCTGCATCAGATGAAGTCTCTTGATTACAGGTGGGCTCTTTTGTGTCTGAGAAGTCATTTATGTTTATTCCCTTACCTTATATCTGTTGGGACAAGGTTTTGCAGAGTTGATTTGTTTGAGCGTGAAAGAAATGAAATATTCAGTATGTTACGTGATCTACTGATATTTAATACAAGTTATAAACTGTAAAAATGAAATTATGTTTAGTTTTTTAAAACATCAATAGTATAACAGTAATACCACAAATAATCAACAGTGCCTTTTAATGTTGGCAAAGTAGGTTAAGTCAGATCAATTAGCAAATATGTAATCAGACTATGATGTTTTGGTGGAGCATAAAAATTCTGAAAAATTCAGTATGCGATATGATCTAATGATATGTAATAAATTCTGTGAACTGTCTTGCACTCAAAAGATAATGTTGTTTTAAGAATTTGCAAAAGTTGTTGTTGTTGTTGTTTTCAAATCCCTTTAGCTGCGAGCATTTCGCCCTTGGCATCGCAATGCCTCCCTCAAGTAACCACATGTCCTTGTCATCTGGTCAACGCCAGAGTAGAGCAGGCTTTATAAGTCTGTAGGTGTGTGTAGGAGCCTGCGTCGAAGTACTGCCAGGTTTGGGCAGTGAAGGAGAAGATGTTCAACGGTCTCCTCGTGGTAGTCACAGTGTCTGCAATGGGGACAAAAGTTAAATTGTTATGCCACAAATACGTAAATTTTTCCCTTTTCTGTTAGTATAGTTGGTTGAGTGTAATCAACCATTTGTTTAATGGAGACTCCTGTCTTTTCCTTTTTGTCCAGCAACAAGAAAATCAAGTCTTTGCCAGATGATGTTGTAGAAGCAGCTCTAGAAGCGGGCGTCAAAGTTATCAACCTCAGCAAGAACTTGTTGGAGGAAGTGCCCAGCCAGTGAGTATCACGAATATGTTGTGAAAAGTGTTGTTCAAAATGTTGGTGTCTACTTTAAGAATAGATCAAGGATGGCCTTTGATGAATGTACTGTCTTTTGTGTAGTGGTCTTGATATTTCCAGATGTATTTTGGATAAGGATTGTTTGGAGAGCTCCTCTGTTAGGTTCTATTTCTTTTCTTTTCTTCTGTTGTTTCTGTGTGTCTATCTTGCTTCTTCCTAGCACGAAATGCCTGTTATTGTGCTGATGTACTTCTCTTTACTCAAAACGATGCATTTTGATTAAATCAGTGTAGTCAGTAATGGAGGAATTTAAAAAAAAGAAGAGATAGTGTTAACTTTGGCACATGACTGACTTTAGTTATGTTCTGGATAATTTTTTGTCCTTGAATAATTGTATTCTGTATGCACACCCCCCCCCCCCAAACCACCTTACCGATTTTTTCTTTCTTCTTTAGGCTTTCAGTACTGTCGCCAAATCTAACAGAACTTAATCTAAGCAGCAACAAGATTGCAAAGCTGGGGCCCTCGGTTGCTCAGTTCAGTCGCCTGCTGTTGCTTGACCTCAGGTAAATCTCTGAAGTTTTATCATGTAGCTTCTCTATTGTCCAGTGGTATTTAGTCCAGATCTTCCATTATAATATCAGTTGTCCATGTAATGTTTTGTAAAAAAAATGAAAATAAATAAATTTCAATTTACCTATCTATACGTTCTTGTATTCTGTACAGTTGAGATAGAAAATGAAGTGTGTGTGTGTGCTGAAGTGCTTGTAAGAATGTGAGAATAATACAAGTGTGAGAGTCTGTACATGTGATTGTGTGCATGTGTGTTAGTGTGTTTTGTTTTGTGTGCTGTTAGTGTGCTTGTGTGTGTCGGACCATGCTTGTGTCCTTAGTGGCTTCTGTATTTTCTTTGTTGCTTTGTTTCTGTTGAGCTTTTTTGCTGATTGGTTGTGCTTTTGCCCTGAAAGGAAATAAATTCTTTCTCCTAAGTGGGTCGTTAGCTGGTGTTCTGGTATGGTTTGCTTCTTCTTTCCTATCAAACGTTCATCGTCTTTATCTCTGCTCCTTCTTTTTGCGTTTGTTATTCTCTTGTAAGACCTCTAATCTTCGGCACTTATATGACTTTATTGTGGTGCAAGTGCAGTAAAACACTTACTAAAACAATTTTAAAATCTTTGTCCTAGTCCTACCTTTCTACCTGGCCATCGAAACCTCTGACATGACTTAATTCGTCTCGTAATTTCTAAAATGTGGTCTTTTCTTTCTCTTAAATACAGTAGGTGAGCTTTGTTTGTATATTGTGAGAAAATAGATTAAGTTCAATTTTGAAGAGGAGTACACTGCTACTAATTCTGTTGAGAGGTATCATAATTATATTGAAGGAAGGCGGTGGAGGGTAGCATCCTCGGCTTTGGGCATTTGGTGCTTATTTCCGTGAAGTTTTCTAATCTTATGTGTGGATGGAGGGTGCCACTGGTAGTTCCCACATCATTTCTTTCACTCTATTGTGTCGGCCTCTCTGTTTTACTTTTCTCCTGCACTTTATCGCTGTTTTTTTTAGGTCAATGTGCTTGTCTTTACTCAGACTCTGACTTGTATCCTCAGGACCAATCAGTTGTCCGACCTCCCGATGGAACTTTCCAGACTGAGCAGCCTGAGAGAACTTGCCTTGTCATATAACAGGTTAGTCTAGAACAGCGGTTCTTAATCTTGGGTTTAATCAAACCCGAGGAGCTCAAGGAGCCAGTTTCAGGAACTTATCAGAGTTCAAAAGTGTGTTGTTTCGGTTCACCCCACTGGGTAGAGCTGGGTCGCGAGCACAAGAACGGAACTGAATCGCCACTCTTCCCTGCGGAACGCGATTCGCGATTCACTTCAGCGGAACGCGGAACTGTATCGCCTTCCGATTCCCGATTCACTCCCCTGTCGCTGTCACCACCTTGTGGCTTGTTTGTAACCTACTGCTGAGTCGAGTCACGAGCGCAAGAACGGAACGGAACACTTAGTGTGGCTCCCCTTTCTTGACAAAAGATGGCATTGTCCAACCTCCCTATTAAAACAAAATGAAGGGGTTCCAACCAATAGACACTAAGGAATTTTATGAAGCTATTGTTTTAGCGAATCTTGGGGGGGGGGAAGGGGGAATCTATGGGGGTTGCTAATCGAGGTCAGTAGAGCAACGCAATGAAGGGTGGGGTGGGGGGAGGATGGCGGAACAACAAGAGTGGGACTTGCGAAGTGGCGTTGATATGACACTTCCGTTTCACGCATACTACGAGCCCAAGACTTAGTGTTCCACGAGCACTCGTGTACTCGCGATTCATTGAAGCCGACTGAATCGCGAATCGCCACTCTCAGATTTGGCGAGCAGGATCCAGCTCTACCACTGGGAGAGTTTGGTGAATGTACGTATGAAACTTGCGGGATTCAGTACTCTCAACAAGATTCAGTACTCTCAACAAGATTCAGTACTCTCAACAAGATTCAGTACTTTCTACAAGATTCAGTACTCTCAACAAGATTCAGTACTCTCAACAAGATTCAGTACTCTCAACAAGATTCAGTACTCTCAACAAGATTCAGTACTTTCTACAAGGTTAAGAACCACTGGTCTAGAAACCTCCTGTCCAGTTGAAACTTTTTTTGCTACATATTTGAAGATGTTGGTGTGATCACTTAAAATATTGTATCCCGTCCTGTCAGAAGCTCCAGTGGCTGAGTGGCTGGAGTAGCTCAGATAATGGTAAGGCTCTCAGACTTGCAACCGTAATGTCGTAGGTTCGAATCTCAACAGGGGCCTCACTTTATGTCCTTGGGAAATACACTTTACACAAATTTTCCTCACTTCACCCAGGTGGGAATGGGTACCCAGCTGTAGACGACGAAAATTTTTGTCAGTTTGTCAGTGTTTGAGCGCTTAATCGTCTGCTTTCACTGTATGCTTCCCAGGAAGCTGAGAATGTTTCTGAGTGTTACAGGGTCTGCTGGGGTAATATTATGGTGTAAAGCGCCTACAGCTTGCTGTTTAGCGGGGTTTGCACTATACAAATGCTATTTATTATTATTATTATTATTCATGATTAAATAATGCCAAGCTGTGCAGGTGGCACTCTGTTTAAGAATGTTGTCACTGGTATGCGTCCTTGAGGAAAACTCATTATAACTATCCCAAAGACAGGCACTGCAACAACTCAACTGTCAGCAATGACATGCTAAACTATGAATGCTACACTTTCAGTTACTGATGCTGTATTAATCATTGACTGATGTACATGTCATTGTAGAACAGATCTTCCTAAATCTCCATATGGGGATCGGTTAATTTGTTGTTTTTTTGTGTGTTTACTACTACTTCAGAATCAATGTCTGGAAAAAACACCTGTTCCTGCCACCACCCTAAATATGTGAGGCATTGTGGCAAAATCAGGCGCTCGTCAAAATAATGAAATAGAAGAAATCGACATTTTTTGGCCAGTTCCAGTTTGGAATTTTTTTTCAAATTTTTGTTTTGTGGCTCAACACCTTGTGTGTCCTTTTAAAAACATTCTTATGTGTGGATTTTATGGAAAATTTTTAATTAAAAGCATGAAAAATGTAAATTTGCAGTTAATTTTTCTTCTGAAACCAGACGACCCCACCTCCTTCATTCATAAATATTTCAACTTCTATTCAAGATAAATGTATATTTTGTCACGAAAAGGAAGACAAATAAACAGGCTTTAAGATGATACCAAGAACTCCATATGCCCTAAAATTGACAAGTACCTGATTCCACCATGCTGTAACACAATTGGTTTTTTTGACAACTCTATCAGTTTAAAAAAAAAAGTTGGTAGTTGCTTAAAAATTCACATGCTCTATCAAGTTGTTATAGATCTAATTCATTACCTTGTTTTTGTTTTTGTTGATCATGATTGTATTGAAATGGTACTTTTAACTTTTAAAAGAACATTTAAGAATTATTCTTAAAAAACAAAAAATTGGATCCACTTGTCCAGATTCAAGTCAATACCGGAGAGTGTGTACAGCCTCAAGTCGCTAGAGATCCTCTTTATCAATGACAATCAGGTGAACTCCCTGGATGTGTCCAAATTGAGCACTCTGTCCTGTCTGGCCACTCTGGACCTGCAGAACAACGACCTTACGCAAGTCCCGCCTGAGCTGGGCAACTGTACGGGACTCAAGTGAGTGTGCGACTTTTTCTTCTTCTCCAATTTTTGCGTCTTGCGAATAAAACAAACCTGCTTCTTTACTACTGTCCCTCTGTTCTTTCTATCTGTCAGTCTTCCTTTTTCTTAGCACTTCGTGGCCATGTCATGCTTTTCTCCTCTCAAACAAAACTCAAAGACTGGTATCTGTTGTGTAGTGGTTAGGCTTCTGTTGGTGTATATAGAGGAAATAAGGCGTAAGAGATTTTGACTGCCATTATATGTGAGACATGAGGGAAAAGCTTAAATAGCTAGTTTTGTTTGCATGTCAGAAAGGAAGGGGGAGGAGGGGAGGGATATGGGAATAAAATAATAAAGTGAATGGGGGAGAAATGAATATGCTCATAATTTGCAAAGAGTTATCTTGTGCCCCAATGGACAAACTTATTATCCTCCTGTTCTCCACAGATCTTTGTCCTTGAGCGGCAATGCGCTACGGATGCCTCGACCGGCCGTCCTGGCGAAGGGCACCCTGGCAGTGCTGGAGTACCTGAGGAGTCGGATTGTCACGTAGTAGTTGTGAGACACGCCCCGCACTTACAACCTGTCCTGTGTCACGCCCACTGATTTAGGGGCTCGTTAGTGATTAGCCTTCACAGGTTGTTTTGTTTTTGGTTTTTTTGGACCACGTTGTTCTTCCTCTCCTCTTCTTTCTTGTGTAAAAAGAAAAGTACTTTTAAGCTCCTGTTTTCCAAATTTATTGGAATTTTCATAAATTATTCTTTGAAATGGAATGGTTTAAAAAAGGATTCTCAAACTAGTAAGTGCTACACCCACAAAAGGTATGCAAGATTTGAAGTATAATCATAGTACAGGCTTTATCCCCCTCTCTACCATGTCTTCAATAACATGCCTCTAAATTAGCTCATGTCCATCTGATATTGGCGTGAAGGGGTCGAAAAGAATGGGATAAAATAAGATTGATGCAATCCCCAGACACTGAGAGGTTTATAGCAGAACATCTTCCTCTACATTTCTATGTCTTTTATGTAAAGAAGAGGTTGACAAAGCCCATTATAGTGCGCAGCTCAAGCAGAAATTATGCTGGAACACTGTTTAAAGTTTAAAAAATCTGCCGATGTTAATTTTCAAGATCCCTTAAATATGACAAATGAAGTAGCCCATAACATCATTTCATCAGAGTTGTCATTATATATATATATATATATATATACAGAAATGAACTCAAATGGTTGTGAGAATACATTTATTGTTGCTATTTTGTCTACAGAACCTTTTAATGATATTCCCAAGAGGCTGCTCAAACATACACTTGTATATCTCTGCAACAACAGTGTGTAACTTACCCTAATGATGAAGCTGCTTGATGAGATAAAACTGGGGTGAATCTACCTGTTTTGTTTTGTGTTGTACCAAGATACATTATCCCATTCAGTACCACTGGCTACAACGTGAAAATCTGCCCCAAGAGCACAAACAGTTTTTTTTTTCACATAGTGTGTATCTTTAAAAAAATAATGAAAATAGCCTAGAGCACCTGTACTGAAAAGAATTATACCTCATTATGTTTATTATTGTGCTTACTAAATAACAAATAAAGTCATATAAATGCAATTTTTTTTTCTCCATATGTCCACTTGCCATAATTGAATTGTCACTGTCCTTCACCAAAAGCAGCCACACATATACAGTTTACGACAGTTATTTATAACTAAAGGTGCTCCTGAAAACGCCACCCTTGGCACAGCTGAATTGGCACCTTGAGCACCCATAGTGAGTGTCAAAAGGTCTGCCTGAGGCGGTCAGTCTCTTGGGACCTACACCTGTGCATTGTCTGCACACTCGTTTCCTTCCTGGCATGTGAACACTTGTGCAGGAGGCTGGACCGCTGGACACGTTGCCAGCTTCAGAGTTGTTTCTGTCACGAGTGAAACAGCGCAATAAGATCCCCACCAATGTCAGTTTCATTACAATTACCCGTTTCAGCATCCTATTCATCATCACTGCCGAGGTTTCTATTGATATCATCAACGAGGTTGCCCAGAAACTCGAAGGCCATTTCATTCTGGCTGCAGCTGACAGCTGATTTTCGGCAGCACAGTTCGATCAACTTATCTGTTTGTTTACTCAATGAAAATTATAGGCGAGCAGATTCTCCTTATAAACTCCATGCGGTATAATTTCTACCTGTCAGAATAAAGAAAGAACAGTGGGAAAATTCTGTACATTATTGGTGTGCGTCAATTCCTTAGTAGCTACCCTCACATCAGGCGGTTACAGTCGTTATAATTGTTATGGTAGAGTTGAGACTACTGAGCGGGCGGTTAAGGCCGTTATGGTACTGGATGGGTTGATTAAAGTCAGAATGTTCATATATTAACTAGAAGACTGTTGTAGTTGCTGGAGACCACAGTAACCCCAAGTCCTTCAATTCGTGGTGCCATGGTGGCAGCTGAAAGAATTTTCTGCTCAACTGTGTATGTACTACTATACCACTGTTGTTCGAAACATTTTGCTAGTCATTGAATGCTTTTCTACAAGGAACAAGACTTTTCGCTTTAGCTACTGAACTGTTTTATCATGTTTGAACTTGAGTAAAGTGGTCATTATTGGAGAACAGCCATTTGATTTGTTTGTAGTAGGCCGGCTTATTCTGTTACAATGTATTCCTGTCCATGACAATCTGTTCATAGCCAACCTCATGAGTATTGGCATTTGTAAAATGTGTGAGGTTTCTGCACAAAACCTCTCATACATATATTTTCTAATACTTAAACTTTGCTTTCACTTCAGTTGTAATGTTTGGGTCTTTTTATTGCATTAGCTGCAAAGAATAGTGTTGTTTTTTTAATACATTGTTTTTTTGTTTATTAAAAATTAAGACTGTTTATGATTATATGAATTGTTTGTATTATGTGCTTCTTTGGTGATAGTGAAGTTGTGAGCGCCGTAAAACCTCTACAAAAAAAAACCCACACAAAAAAAGGGTGATAGTGAGGCTTTGCTTTTTTCTGTGTCTACCATAGTCGAGTTTCATAGATAGATTCAGAAATGTTATACCTTAGCTTACTGGAGCTCTCGTGGTCTAGAGACACGGTGTTCGCCTCTTACTCGTCCTGGCATCGAATCCTGACAGCTACAGAAACCTTTGTCTCCTCTTTCTGCCCCCTTCATTCCCCCTACCCTCCTTTTGCCCCTTCCTCTGGATTCAGGCTGACTCTTTCTGTTGCCTTTTTACTGCTACTCCTTGGCTTCTTCTTACTGCTATCATTCATGATTTTATGGTAGGTAAGATCTAACACCTAGCCTTTTCGGATAAGGGAGAAAAATCTCTGAGGTCTTGTATGCATGCAAGTTGCCCACATTAAAGATCCCTTGGTGGTCCTAAATTCGATAAGAGTAGGCTAAGGCCGCCACCTAGGCAAACTTTAAAAATAATTACTACCAAACTGAAAATACTTAATCTGTCCCCTTGCGCTCATATGACTGTATGCAGTTATGTGTGCCATAAAACACTTAGCAAAGAAACAGCAACCCCAAACAAACA